TAAGATCATTTTAGTGAAAGTTTCATCCTTCAAGGCGTACCATTCACTGCTCAAATACTAAACAACCTGCTTACATTGCCGAGATACAGGGCGCTCATATTATAAGGTAAGGTTATAAAACCACCTTTTAAGATCATTTTAGTGAAAGTTTCATGTTCCTATCTCATATAATTTAAGAACAATGATGAATAAATCATTTTCGAGCAAAATTTAAATGGACGGCTGAATATATTACCGCCGGAGAGACGGCCGCGGAATTTAAATGACCGTGCGGAAGGGTTAAGAAATCGTCACAGCAAAAAGCAACCACTTCACAGTACATATAAAGAGCATGAATTTACAGTGTTCTGAAATGAAGCTTTACTCTTTCAAAGCAAGAAATTGCATTACTATGCTCAAAGCACAAGGCGACTCTTATGCATTTAGAACCAGACTGTAATGCAGTGCACAAATGTAAAAGTAGTTAAACTTCAACTTTGTACACTGAGAGTGTACAGCAAAGACAGGGCAGGAACTTTGCTTATAACAGACTGCTCCTAAAATTGGCAGCTACAAGTACAAGAGGTTACTTATATATGAGAAAATCTTTACTCTGTTCCATTATCACTAAAGATGTGAAGAATGTTGAATTATTCTCAGTTATGTTCACGCCTCCACCATAAACACTCCTAACAAGAATGAATATTGCTATAACTGCATTCATTTTATAAACCTTATCGCTGAATTGTAGTATGTGTAAACAGAAATTAGGAGACAATGAATATCATGTATTTCAACCATTCTAGGATATTACGAGTACGCGTGAGAATAAGCATTTTTATAAATTTTTATTAATCTTGTTGTACCATGATTGCACTCCGAAAAGTTCAAAGTCTGAACACCCCAAATCCCAAGCCTGGAACTTCCAAATGAGTCACTTACCAGCTGGAGGCGGCTGACTTGAGCTTGCGGACCTCCTTTGTAGCCCACGTAGCCAATGTCTTTGTTTTAGAGACCCGAGAACGTCTTCCCTGGGTCAACAAATCATTTATAGGTTCCACATCCAGTAGGGGCAGCATCTTAGCACCAAAGGCAGTGCATAAATCACTAAAAAACAGCAGGGAATGCATTCTTAGGGTGTGAACACACTATACAATACTGTAACAATAAAAAGATCTTGAAGCAAAGCTCAATAATATATCACCCATACGATCTAGTGGGGCTTCTTTTGAAGAAAAACTCCAGGACGCTTCATATGTGTGTGTAGAAGTTACTGTGTCTTAAATTTGTCAACGTCCTCATTTTATTTAGTTTTGAAAGAGGCATATGAGGATAATCGCCAGTAGTGAAATGGGAATGACTACACAGCAAGTGATAAGTTGTTCACAAAGACAGTAAATCTTGGCCAGTAGTTGGACAAACTATACGTACAACATGAAACTGGAGGTAACAACACAAAATTCAGTATGAAAGTGGAAAAAAGTGACATGGACCAATGTCTGCTACAGAACACCATGCATTACAATTTCATCCTTCACCATCTGTGCATTCAATATGGCCTATAATGCATAACAGGAACAACAAACTCTTGTTCTGGCATCACCTATAACCATAAAATGTTTGTTTAGCCCAACAAAGTAAAACACTGTACTTCATGTACTGCACATCATCAGGCATTTAAAATTTCAGGCCATTAAAAGAGACAACATTGATAAGATACGAACTCTGTTAAATATGCTTAAAAATTTGATGACTTCGGTGTTCAGTGCATCATATTTTCACATATATATCTAGATGCAACTTTAAGCTAAGGTCTATGAAATACCGTGTTTCAGAATGTAATCAACACAAAGTTACTCATGAAATGTAAGTGTTTGTATAAGGCAGGTTTGCTCATGACAGCTGCAAAAGAAATACGAAAATATAAGTTAGATTCAATGGGAGTATAGGAGGTCAGCTGGGACAGAGGTGGCATCAAACGATCAGGTGAATATACATTTTTCTATAGAAAGCGGAATGAGAATCATGAATTCAGTACAGGTTTTTGTGTACATATGAGAATCATATCAGCAGTTAAGAGGGTAGAATTTGTTAATGATAAGATGTCATACATAATACTAAGAGGTCACTAGTGTGATATCATCGTCCTGAATGTTCATGCTCCAACAGACGATAAAATTTGTGATATAAAGGATAGGTTCCACAAAGCATTAGAATCTGTATTCAATAAATTCCTTAATACCATAGGAAAACTGTTACATTTTACTGTCAAAGTAGACAGGGAAGACATTTTCAAACCAACAGGTGGAAATGAGAGTTTGCATGAAATTAGTAATGATAATGAAGTTAGAGTAGAAAGCTTTGCCACTTCCAAAAATCTGACTGTCAAAAGTACAATGTTCCAACATTGCAATATTCATAAATTTACATGGATATCTCCTGACTGACCATATTTTGATAGACAGGAGGTGTCATTCAAGTATACCTGATGTCTCATTGTTCTGGGCAACAAATTGTGATACTGACCACTACCTGGTGGTGGCAAAAGTTACAGAAAGGCTGGTAGTGAGCAAACAAACAATTCACAGAGTTCATGTGGAGAGGTTAAATCTGAAGAAATGAAAATAGGCAGAGGCTAAAGAGCAGTATCATGTTGAAATCTCAAATAGTTTGCAGTTTTGGAAAACTTATATGCTGAGGCTGATATTAATACAGCTTGGGAATACAAACATTTCAACCAAAGAGAGTCTAGGTCATTATGAACTGAAGAAGCATTAACCATGGTTTGAAGGACACTCAAGATTATTAGACCATAGGAAACAAGCCAGAATGCAGTGGTTACAGGATCCATGCGAAAAAATTGGGGATAATCTGAAAGACAAAACTGATGAGCTTGTAACAACCATCAAGGACAAGAACATCAGAGACACATATAGAGGAAAATATTAATTTAAAAAGGGGTTACAAACCTAAAGTAACTTAGCGAAGGATGAGAATGGTATTCTGCTTGCTGATTCTCACAATATTTTGAATAAGTGGAAGAATTACTTCTCTCAGTTATTGAATGTACACAGGGTCAGTAATGTCAGGCAGAAAGAAATACATACAGCTAAGCCGTTACTACCTAATCCTACAGTGGCTTGTACTAAAACTAACTGTATTGATACCCTTCTGAAATGGTCTATAAGACTGAAACATGTTAAGGACAAACTATTAAAAGGGAGAAAAAAACTTCATCAGTCACACTGGATGGAATTAAGTAACCTTTTTATAATATTGTTAGTGTGACGGACCAGGATGAAAGAAAAAAAAATTAATATATATTTTAAAGTCTTACTGCTATACAGAATTACATTAAAGAACAAAACTAATCTCATTTCAACGCAGATTTTCTCTTTTCCTGAACATCAACTGTGTTTTGGAGACCATGGTTTGCTCTTGAGCATGATCACTTGACAATGTACTCATAACTTCTTTTAATTTCTCAAAAACTGCATGCCTTGCAGAAAAAAAGTATGATATAAAACGTTCCATTTTTCTATACAGCCTGTTTGAAACATTCTTCTCTGTGATGAATATTTGGTGAGATAGCCCAAAAATGCATGTAAGCATTCATGTAAAGTCATCATTCAACATGTCCAGTTTAAATCAAAATGGCTCAAAAATTTTTCTGTTAACATTCTTCAATATCAAATTTCATAAAAATCCATCTGTGGTTCTCTAAAGGAAACACACAGACATACAACCACTGCTATTATGAGTTCATTTCAAGCACAGCATGCGAAGAATGCATAATAACTAAATTACATTTATCATTTTTGATCAAGCAATGTCATGACGTAACTAGAAATTGAGTTACAAAAAAGAAGAAACCTTAATGTTGTGTTCAAAGGCTAATGACACACGATCAATTTCACTCAGTTAACTCACCCTACAAGGCCAGCAGAACCTGCCACATTACCATCTGCATGATCAGTGTCCTGGGCTACAATTGTGATGAACTGCACCATAAATGGAACATGGGGTTCCAGCAACTGGACATCAGGACTAGGTGTACTTCCATCACCTTTCAAGCCCTGCACAATACCAGTATACGCCTCGAACACACCTTCTCGCAGCTCATTCAAGTAGTCAATCATGTCATAGTCAGTCTGTTAACAACATCCACATATACATTCTAAGCAACTAAAACTCTGGACTCTGAAAGAAGTAGAGCAGACGGATTACTGGCGGAGTGATGCTTAGAGCTGGTCAAACAATAAATTCTCCATCCAATACATTACAGTTATAGTATGAAACTACACTGTCCAATTAATCATAAATATATTGTAACAGATCTGATTGTGTTGCCAGTCAACAGCTCTGTAAACACAAACAGAGGCAACAACAGAAGGGAAATTGTGTTTTTTTCATGCAATCCATGCTGAGCAAAAGCACGAATATATATATATATATATATAGGAAGTCTGTTGTCAGGCAATGCATCCACAACAGTGGGGGACGTTGTTTTCCATGTGGTCCGTGCAAAGGAGTTATCTTAGGTTCGGAGGACAGAGTGGGAGTAGTGGAAGAGAGATTCGCCAAGTCAGGTGCTGTGTTGTTTTCACCGTTCTAGAGTGTGCTGTACCACGTAATTTATACTGCCTGTGTCTGTGACGCTGATGTGGGCGTGTTCTGATGTATTATGAGGTCGAACATGTTATGTTGGCTATTACTTTCTTTTGTGTGTTCTTGTTCTTCTATCAATTTATTTACATTCACGATGCCTCTTTTTTTTTTGGCTTTTCAATCATTTCCATGATTACTGTCATCGGCCCATACTGATGGTGCTTATTTAGTACGTGTTGGGCAAATGCTGATTCGTCCTTGTATCGTCTTGTGTTTCTTATGTGTTCTTTGTATCTTGTTAGATTTCTACCAGTTTGGCCGATGTATACTTTTTGGCAACTTTGGCATGTTATTTCCTATATCCCACTTTGTTCGTAGGGGTTTATTTCTCGTTTTTCATTTATTAGTTTACCTACTGTGTTGGCTGTTTTGAAGGCTATCTTTATGTTAGTGTTTTTGAATAGTTTTGTGATTTTTCATATGTAATTTCCTGTATAAGTAGAAGTGACCCATTTTGTTCTTTTTCGTCTTTATTATCCGGGTTACCCATCTTTCGCTTAAGTTTGTTATATAGATGTGTGATGTCTTCCTTTCTATAGCCATTATTTAGTGTTATATTAATAATAGTATTTAATTCTTTGTTTTTAGCGTGTATCCAATTTCTATATGCTGGCAATTTTTGTTCTTTAGGGTGGCATGATTTATTATTTATTGTTATGTCTGTCATTGTGGGTTTTCTGTACGTTTCCATTTCTATTAAATATATTTAAGTTCAGGTAAGCTAAATTTTTTAAACACTTTAAAAGTTTTAATACCAGGAAGGCTGCTGTGATTGTGAAAAGTTGAATATTGTGTACATTGTGTATTCCAGGCATTATGTGTGTATGTAATTTAGCAATCAGAACACCTATTGTGATGGTGGTTTCCGAATAAGTATTGATGTTCCCTCTGAGGATGATCCATAAGCGTGTGTGTGTGTGTGTGTGTGTGTGCGCCTCTCTCTCTCTTTCTCTCTTTCAAGTCTCAATTCTGAGACAGTAAAATATGGTCGCAAGTCCCAAGGGACTCGGACCCAAGAAAGACTGCGCAGGCAAGAGCCAGCAGCATATACAAAAGACAGACCCGTCCTCTCGTCAGAGAAGGCGCCCCACAGAAACAAGACCGTAACTGTCAAACAATAATTAATATCTGGTCATGAGCCCCATTTACTGACTGACTGACCGTCAGTCGCAATGTAACTCTGACTCTGACTGAGTTCAGTTCTGAGTTCTAGGTGGAAGATAGCCACAGAAGTTCATGTTTCAAGAAGTGTTATGAGTCAACCTGTGAAGACTTAACATGTGTGTTATAACTACAGTAATCTTGAAAGTGTTGCAATTATTTGTAGTTGCAACTAATGAAGATCCAATAAACCAATTCATCCAAACCCATGTCTCAGTCACTGGGATACGTGCAATATTTTCTTTTCTTCTTCCACCCACATATTTCTCATTTTCAACTGGAACAGCCCTAAAAACTGCTGCCTTTTCTTAGCTCTGTATGTTCTACAAGCTGAAGAGATGACCCATCCAGGCAGAGGGACAGAAAGCGAACAGCCTTTGACAGGACATATTACGAGTTGCACCATACTACAGACCTATATAGGCCTTGCATAATTCTGGAAGCCAGGTCACTATGGCACCTCAGCTTTTCTTGTAGCACTTAAAAATCTGTTCCTAATACACTGAAACCATCATTTCAAGATCCTGTTTTTACAGAATATCTCCTGCAGTCCCAGCAAAAGCTTTATACAACTAATGTACTATTCTTCCTGAGTGTTTCTCACTTTAACAATTTATCCACAATTTACAGATAAAAAATTTGATTCCTAAATGTTCTGGACCTCGATTTAGTGCAGGAGAGTCTTTTACATGAAAGCAATTTGCTTGTGGCCAGCCTTGCATTTAAGCTCATTATCTGCATGCCACTAGCAACCATTTTGCAGCACAATCATTGCCTCTGCCCAGTCTTTGTGCTGACAGTGTTCACTGTTTTCGTAATTTTAATTTTATGAAGTCACTTTACAGCCATGGGACTCAAAAAGAAGAATCTTATTATATGTGCGAAAATTAACAATTATCCAGCCATGTCACACAGTGATGTGGCAAAGTACCTTGGGCTATCCCCCTCATCAAGTAGCATACTGTCACATGTTAATGACCAGACATGGGGTTTAGATTGGTAACTGATTTATTAAAACACATAAATCATAACTAAAATTATAACACTCTCACTACAGCACATGCAAAGTATTCTCAGTTTTCTACATCTTCATTCACCGGCTCCCAAAAATAAATGCTCCTTTGCTTACGTGCTCTGCTAAGTATTCTCAGTTTGCTATATCTTCACTGACCGGCTTCCAACAATAAATGCTCCTTTGCTTCCATGCTCAAGTCTTCATTGTCTCACACTGAACATATTGCTCCAACTGTCTACTACTGAGTGCCTGGGTTCTCTTTATATAACTTCAGCACAGACTGCATACAAAAGACCACTACCAACAATTCCTCCATTGTTATGTGTGTATTCACTGCCACGGAAACGTGTTTAATGTCATTACCACGCAAGGGGCAATGTCATCCCATCACACTGCTCCTTCCTTATGGCTGCTTGTCTGAGTAGTCCACAGATATGTAGCACATCCACAAAGTAAGTTTCCCACTCATCCCACAGCTAGCAAACCTTATATTGTGCGAAGCGACTGCACGTACGTGATAGAGCAATGACGTAGCATGGCGCATGCACTAACGGAATTTCCTGCGTTCCCACAGTAGCATCGTTGCAGTTGTTGAAGATGGAGGCTCTTATTCCAGCTCCCGCCGACTGTGAAGTGCGGTCAGTGATAAAGTTTTTGAATGCACAGAGCATAGCGCCAATCGAAATTCATTGTCAGCTGTGCTGGGTCTATGGGCCTAACTTCATGAGCAAGCAGATGGTGCGTCGCTGGTGCAGACAATTTTCAGCAGGTCAACAAAGTGTGCATGGTGAGAAGCGCAGTGGGCGGCCATCCATCATTACAGATGGCCTGGTGGAGCTTGTGCGGGTACACATTATGGAGAATTGTTGCATCACAATTACGGAACTCAGCAGTCATGTCCCGCATATTTCCTGCTCCTTGTTGCAAAAAATTGTCACGGAGCACCTGTTGTTCAGGAAATTGTGCGCCAGGTGGGTGCCAAAGCAACTAACACCAGAACACAAAACAAAGCACATGGAGTCAGCATTGACATTTCTGCAGTGGTACCATGACGAGTTTCTGGACCGGATCATCACAGGTGATGAAACATGGATTGCACACATTACCCCAGAAACCAAGCAGCAGTCAATGCATTGGCGTCACAGTGGATCTCCCTGTAAGACGAAATTCAAGCAGAAGTTGTCGGTGCGGAAAGTGACGTGCACAGTATTCTGGGACATCGACTTCCTGACCAGAGGTGAAACAGTGAATGCTGAGCGTTACTGTGAAACACTGCAGAAATTGTGACCGGCCATTCAGAACAAGCGGCGCAGGATGCTTAGTGCCGGTATTGTCTTCCTGCACGATAACGCTAGGCCGCACATGGCTCGACAGACAGCAAGTCTCCTGCAGGAGTTCAGCTGGGAGGTGTTTAATCATCCACCCTACAGCCTGGACCTCGCTCCCAGTGATTTCCATCTTTTCCTACACCTCAAGAATTTCCTGTCCAGTGAGCATCAGCATTTTGAGAATGACAGAGAGGCGGAGATGGTTGTCACACAGTGGTTCCAATCCCAGGCGGCAGACTTCTACGACACAGGTATTCAAAAGTCGGTCCCATGGTATGACAAATGTCTCAATTCCAGTGGTGATTATGTTGAAAAATAGCTGAACACTTGCTGTATCTGTTGCAATAAATATTTCCATGAAATTGTTGTTTCTGTAAATGGCCCCAGGGAAACTTACTTTGTGGATGAGCCCCATATACAAGGGGGTACCCAAAAGGAACCAAACTTATTGTTTTTTAAACTTATTTATTCAAAATTTAAGCACAAACCTTCAATCCCCTTCAAAGTACTCTCCACTTACACTAATACAATTGTCTAGTCTTTTATTCCATTTTTCAAAACATTGTCTAAATTCATCTTTTGAGATGCTTGACAGTGCCTCCGTCGTTTTTTCCTTCACCTCAGCAACATCAGCAAAACGCTGAAAAAAAGTTTTGATCATTTCGGGACTTCTTTCAAAGCACAGCATGCTTCCACGCAACCTTGTTTTTGCTTAGCAGTCAGCAGTCGTGGCACGAATTTCGCAGCCACCCTTTTCATTCCCAAATCTTCTGTCAAAATTCGCTGAACTGAGCTCCAAGTCACTCCCGACAGCTCCACAATTTCTTCAATGGTCCGTCGTCGATCTTCCTTGATGATTTCACGAATTTTTTCAACATTTTCATGTGTTCGGGCCGTGGAAGGACGACCAGAACGAGGTTTGTCATCAATTGACATTTCACCATTTTTGAAACGGGAAAACCACTCAAACACTTGAGTTTTCCCCATAGCATCGTCCTTGTACGCCGTTTTTAACATTTCAAGAGTTTCTGTTCCACTTTTCCCGAGCAAAAAGCAGAATTTCACCGCCGCACGCTGTTCACGAAAATCAGCCATTGCAAAAACGACGATCACACAAAACAGTTGTCACTATAAACTCTGCCGAAACTAGTCCTTACCTTCTGAAGCAATGGTAGTCAGCTTATCGACTCAGGAATGTTAGCTCTATGCGCTCATAGCGGCAAAACGCGGTACTACAAAAGCTCTGCCCACAAAAAAATTAGTTCGGTTTCTTTTGGGTACCCCATCGTATTGCTTTCTTCTTCTGGTTTGTGGGGACAGAACTTCCAAAAGTGGCTGGAGCTCCTACAGTGTCGGCATGTAAGCTGCCGGTTGTTATGTTCTCTCATTTAGGTGGGGGCCCACTCCACAATGTCCTGTCACTTTTTTTCCGCAGCCTGATGGAAGACCTGACCCAACTGCTAGTTTTCTGACTTCTGCTCTAGGGTCTACATGTGCGTCTCTTTGACAGTTCTTCCGCTTCCCTGGAGTAACTGCTTTTTTTATGCTTCATTCTCTTATGCTGCCAATGAATGCTTGCCTGTTCCCCTAAGAACGTGCTCTTTGTGTAGTGTAAGAAAGGCAGGCAGTCAGGCAGGCAGGCAGTCAACTGTTCAATGATGGTGGCAAACTCCTACCTGAACTCATCACTCTTGGGTCCGTGTTTTCAGTTGACTGCGGTAACATACAGCCACTTTCTGGTCCCCAAATTGGTCCTCACTTGCAGTCTTGCACATTGCTCCTTTAGGGACTCCTTGTAGAACACTGGAAGTCCAGTCCTGCAAAGAGGCAACGAGTGTGGCTCCTGCATGTGGTACACCTTCACAGCGTTCCACTATGGCCTCTATCTTTTCTTGACTGGCCTCCACCACTTCTTGGCAGGCCTTCATCTCCTATAGCCAAGCCTCCAGCCTTTCCCGACTGGTCTCTAATTTGGCTTGGTTGGAATCCTTGGCTTCCACCTTGGCCAACTCTCATTTCAGCCATCAGTCTCATTCAATCAATCCAATATATCATACTTCTGACACCAATGTCACATGTTTGTGATTAGATATGGGCTTTGGATTGGTAACTGGATTTATTGGACTATTATATATCGTAATTACATGTAATCAAAATGCCCTAATTCATGCACTTCTCACTACAGCACACGCTACTCTTCTCGGTTTCCTGTGTCTTCAACAGTCTTTGTCTGGTAAGAGCTCTCAAGAGCAGACACTTCTCTGCTTCAGTGCTCATGTCCTTATTGGCTGGCGACTGTCTTGGCACCTAACCCATTGCTCAAACAGTCTACTGACTGCCAGGTTCTCCTTATGTAACTTCAGCATGGACCACATACAAAACACTGCTTCCAACAATTCCTCCATTGTTACATGCACACTCGCTGCCATGGAAACATGTTTACTGCGCCATTACCATGCAATGGGCAATATAATCATGTCACAGAATGTTACCAAAAGTCTGAATTTAATCTGGTTGCAGACTCTTAATGACAGAGTACGGGGCTTTTGATAAGCATAACGAGACATGGCTATTATTTACATGAAGATGTTTCAAGTGGGGAGCTGGGATAGCTCAGTAAATACAGTGACGGGCAACAGGACGGATGGCCGAGTCTGACTCCTGGCAGAGGCAAGAGATTTCTCTCTTCTCCACAGTGTCAACATCAGCTCTGGGATCCCCACCTGCATCTCATCTGATAGGCAATGTGGACTCTTTCCCCAGGGCTGAAGCTGACCACTCACCTCTATCTACTTCTGAGATCAAGAATGGTAGAGCCATACCTTCACACACCCACACATCTTCAGGTAATTAATTAAGCATAGGTCAACTTCAAAAAAAAAAATGTTTCAATTATCCTTTTCTTAAAATAAGAATGAGAAAATTTCTCACCACAGGTATTTTCTTTTTTAGTCTGGCTCCTAGATGTCAGAATTTTGTGCATGCCTGGTAACATATATATATATATATATTCACACACCAAAAAGGCAAAGAAATGCCTTGCATACATTTCTCAGTTTATCAAATTTGACACCTGAGTCCAGCCTTCAAAGCAACATCATACAACCCTGGCCTTAACAAGCTTCGACATATTGAAGCTACCTCCAAAAATTAGGGCCCACAGTTTTCACCAAAATTTCACACAAGGGGGTCCTTGCAATGTTAACGCTTGGAGTTGCTGCATATATACACACACACGTGGGCCCTTATTTATGGAGGTAGTTTCAATACGTAGAAACTTGTTAAGGCCAGGGTTTATGATGTTGCTTTGAAGGCTGGACTCAGGTGCCAAATTTGATAAACTGAGAAATGTATGCAAGGCATATGGGGGCATGCAGTAGCACAGTTGGTTGAGGGGCTATGCTACAGGCCAGAAGGTTACAGGTTCAAGCCCCGATGAGGTCACTGGATTTTTTCAATTGACCTAATCCTTCCAGCCGCACTATGGCCCTGGGGTCGACTCAGCCTCTAACAGAAATGAGTACCAGGAATTAAATAATTTTCATGGGGAGTGAAGCACGGCCGGTGCATAAGACTGACAACCTTACCACCATCTTTGAGCTGATTGTGTAGATAATGTGGGACCCTCAACGTCTCACAACCTTATGGGCCTTCACGCCCTGGTACAGGGATAACTTTACTTTACCTTTACACACACACACACACACACACACACACATATATATATATATTGTGACGTGTTGCACGACTGAGGACAGCCCCTCCCTCCCCCCGCAGTGACGTGGCAGCTCTGGCCACGGTAACGTAGCAGGTGAGTCAGCNGTGGCACGCAACGCCGCTGTTGACATGGGCAACAGGCAACAATGAACAGAATAAAAGCCAGCCAAGCGGCAAGCAAGAGTTAGTGTGAGAACCGGAGCAACACAGTTGGAATCTAGCAGCAGTCGCAGAAAGAAGAACTGGACGCATGTGACAATCAGTGACACCCGTATAGCTACCGTATCATAATTAATACGTGTAGACTACTAAGGACAGAGTGAAGAGATTATTACGAATAGGGATATAAAGTGTGAAACCCCGCAACAGTGTTATAATCAATTGTAGTTACGACTTGTAGGTTGTTAAATAAACCAATTAACAATCCAAACGGCGTCTTCAGTGACAAAAACACGTTACATTTGGTGTCGGAAGTGGTTACGGACTTACAAACGTGACTGTCAGAATTGTTTACGAACTTAGACACACCACAAACAAATTGTTGTGCATCAAGTATTTTACTGCTACAAAATGGAGATGCAGCAGATGATGGAAATGCTGCTCAAGGAAATCAGAGCTGGCCAAGAAAAAGCAGATACCGACCGAGTGCAGATGCAAGAAATGTTCCGAACCCATCAAGAACAAATGAAGGCCACGCAAGAAAATTGGAAGAAAGACAAAGAGCCTTAAGGAGGGAGCAGTGTGATGTGTTGCGCTATGGAAGACACCCCCTCCCTCCCCCAGCAGATGTGGCAGCTCTGGCCACGGTGACGTAGCAGGTTAGTCAGCGCTCCCCCCCCCACACACACTATGACATGGCACAGCTTCCCGCTGTGACGGGGCATGCAACGCCGCTGTTGACACAGGCAACAATGAACAGAATAAACGCCAGCTGAGCAGCAAGCGAGAGTTAGTGTGCGAACTGGAGCAACACAGTTGGAATCTAGCAGCAGTTGCGGAAAGAAGAACCGGACGCGTGTGATAATCAGAGATAGTTTGTGATGATTGAGAAGTAATTGGGAGTGTGTAACACAGTGACACTTATGTGGCTCCTGTACTGTGAATACGTGTAGACTACTGAGGACAGAGTGAAGAGATTATTGCAAATAGGGTTATAAAGTGTGAAACCCCGCAGAGTGAAGAGATTACTGCGAATAGGATTACAAAGAGTGAAACCCCACAACAGTGTTATAATCAGTTGTAGTTATGACTTGTAGGTTGTTAAATAAACCAATTAACAATCTGAACGGCGTCTTCAGCGGAGAAAACATGTTACAATATATATCAAAATACAACAGTGTTTCACTTCTTAACATAAACTACAGCTCACATCCTAAGCATTATTTGGCACGTGTTGGTAGCATGGTGTTCATAATAATGACCCCAACACGAACATAAATAAAGCACACAAGGATTACCCACAATCAATTTAAAATCTTGTTATGCCAATTAATGACATACTATGAGCAGAAAGCCTCCGGTTTCAATGCTGACAGAGGCTGCAATCTGTGTGACAGAACAAAACTACAACCTGCAAAGTTTAAAATGTTTCATAAATGAAAAAACTTCATAACCACACGCCTCAAAATAGACACAAAGAAAATATACATTAGGGTGCCTATTGACCTAAACTCCAAGACCTATTCAGGACTGACAAATTCATCTACATGTGTACTGCTAACACACAACAAAATAAGCTTCCATTCCTCTGTTAGTTCAATTCTCTTCAGACCAAATACTCTCTTAACCACTTTCCCTATATTTAACATTAACAAATGGATGCATTAAACGTGCACCATTGCAAAGTTTTTGATTTTGGTGTTTTGAAAGCTCTAAATTTTCACCCCCTCCATTGTTTACAACTAGAAGCAATTAAGTCTGTGTGCTGTTAGCTCTTACCCTATCTACTTGAGCTTGTGAAGCCTGTACCAATGTCTGCAGGACAACATCCAAATATTTCTTGAACTCTGGACCAATACTCAGGGCTATATCTCCAAATACAGACAGGATTTGAGGCTTCACTGATCGATGAACTGTATTATCCTGGAAAATCAAGATCCAAGATGATTTTATCACCAATAGCAACACATTTCACACACTCCACTAACTGAATGGGCCTTTTCTCCCTCATTTACAGACAGATGAGTGGCAACCATAACACAAAAATATATTACACAGATACAAGTGTGAAGCTGAACATATTTGCATAAGTTAATCACCTCCAAATTTTAGAACCATAACACAAAAATATATTACACAGATTCAAGTCTGAAGCTGAACATATTTGCATAAGTTAACCCTTTGACGTGGTCATTTAAATTCCGCGGCCGCGGCTCCTGCGGTAATATATTCAGCCGGCCATTTAAATTTTGCTCGAAAATTATTTATTCATCATTGTTCTTAAATTCTATGAGATAGGAACATGAAACTTTCACTAAAATGATCTTAAAAGGTGGTTTTATAACCTTACCTTATAATATGAACCCCCTTTATATCTTCAATGGAAGCAGGTTGTTTAGTATTTGAGCAGTGAATGGTACGCTTTGAAGGATGAAACTTTCACTAAAATGATCTTAAAAGATGGTTTTATAACCTTGCCTTATAATATGAGCACCCGGTATCTCGGCTATGTAAGCAGGTGACGCCTTGAAGCATTAGTCTAAACACAGCGCTCGCTCACATCCCACCACACCAATACTGCGTATCTTTACTTTTGCTTTTTTTTTTTCTTACCACACTTCTGTGCGGCCCTGCCTTCTTCCCCGTGGGGGGAATACAAGTGGAAATGTCCCTCCGTGAGTCGTATATTTTGACAGATTAGCTGCAGTAAATTCAACCTTTGTGTTATCATAAGAAGGGTTTGGTGCTTCTGCGTTTCAGATTCCAACCTTTTCGGCTCCCCAGATGTCGTAGGGGTGACCACAGAATTCATGAATTTATTATAAGAACTGGCTGGTATATAGAGGAAGAAAGCAGAGCTTAGCTGGCTCAAAAAAAATAGTTATGGTCATCCCTCGAAACGACCACCAAGGTCAGTACGATAAAATGGCGTCAACTGGAGCGATAATGAGTACTTTTCCCTCCCCCACACACATCCGTATCGTCTCAGGGGGTGACCACAGTGTTCTGCCTTAAATTGTGGCGTTTTTCTCAGAACTGGGCCTTTGTACTGTGCGAAATCAATGGATCATGCGAGAATAAATTTCTGGACAACCCTATTCTAAGAATTCCAGTTGAGTGTGTCAATGTGGCCAGCTCAGGGCAATATGATATCATATACAACAGTAAACATCACGTCTCTTCTGTTTATATCTTCAAAGCAAAGAAAACACGCTTTCATAACAGTACAGCTAGAAACCGCTCGCCAGAACCACAGGAACTTTGCTGCAAGACAGGCATATGTAACGATGACTTGGCGCAGATAAAGTCGTGTCTTATTTATACTCTGTTCTACTGACAACAGGCCAGCGAAAAATCTAACAATCTACAGCAAAACCATCAATTATTATGGGCGTTATAACATAGGTGTGCAGCTGAACGAAACATACACGTCGAACCCCCCCAGACGATTTAAATCCCTGACGAAACATACACGACGAACCACGGCAACGGGTTAATCACCTCCAAATTTTAGATGTAATGTTTTGGAAAATAAATCAGGTACTATATTTTTACTGCAAATTTTAGCCACTTTTGGATGGATAGATACGATTATAGATAATCTATCAAACAATTTGTGACTGTGTACTTCCTCCAATATACAGTGCAACTTCGATATAATGAGAATTTACAAAATTCATACCAATGCTCTTTATAATGTGTATTCAGATTATCCCAAAATGGCTGAAATATACAATCTTCATGTCAAACTTATAATTACACACAGTACCATATCAAAAGCTGTTCTACTGTTGTCTGCTATGTCAATAAAGCAATAAGAAGCAAGAATTTGAAAGTATGTCAAATATGAGCAAATGTACATTATACAGCTAGACTCAAAACGAATTATAACACCAAAAAGAATGTAACTGCACCCTTCAAATTATGTAGCCATAGTTCTCATAACCGCAGTCTAACATCGTGTTATATTCTCAAAAGGGCATACATAGTACCTTTTAAAATTTGACATATATCTGCATTAAACAGAAGAAAAATTTTCATCAGAATTTTCTGTCAATACTTAATTTAAAAATCATGCATAATATCAACAGATGTGTAATAATATTCTACATCATGGAATAATTCACATTAAACTAAAGACACTTACACCAAGGTTTTCAAGAAGCAGCATCATTATCTCATCACAATAAGGAAGAACTTTATTCTTCAATGCTCGGCAGATATCTCCTGTCAAACCTACTGCAGCACCACACACCTGAAAGAAAAGTTGTAAAATCTAACGGGTAGAAAGGGGCTGGGGGACCTAGCAGATACCCATCCACACCATGTAGAGGGGAAATAACAATCATTTGTACTTTTCACAATATACAGGGCTACTATAAATGATTCATTCGTTTTTAAAACGTTATATTTTTCAAAGCATTACACATACAAACATGATTTATATATAAAAAGAAATGTAAACTCGCCAAGTTTGTATTGTGTGAACCAGTTGGCAGCACGAGTTCAGTGCCTTTACAAAATGGTGACAAAGCAAGAAGAGTTTTTGTTTGTTGGAATATGCGAGATGTTCGTCTGTTATAGCAGTGCAAAGCACATTCAAGAGAGTACAGAAAAGAACCACCATGTAAACAAAGCATTTTGCGGTGGTATCGACAATGTTCGTTGCTACTTAAACAATGAATTTCGGCATCACTGGATTGGACACGGTGAGGATGACGTAGCTCTGTTCACTTGGCCCCCCAGATCACCTGATCTAACGCCTTGTGACGTCTTCCTTTGGGGGTACATTAAGGATCGTGTTTACGTACCCCCACTGCCAAGAACACTAGTAGAGCTGAGAGAATGCATCGATGCTACAGTGATGACCATTGACAGGATGCTGCTACAAAATGTGTGGAACGAGCTCGACTACCGCCTGGACGTGTGACCCAAGGGGCACACACAGAACATTTGTAGAGTGCGAAGAAAACTTGGTGAGTTTACGGTTCTTTTTGTATATCAATCATATTTGTAAATGTAATGCTTTGGAAAATATAGCGTTTTAAAAACGAATGAATCACTTATAGTAGCCCTGTATTATCACAGTTATCAAATCAAGACTAAGATGGGTTGGATTTGCACCACATATGGAAAAGATGAGAAATTCATACAAAAGTTTAGCCATAAACCTAGGAGAACTGGTGCATGTGTAAAGATGTACGTTTGTCCAGAGTTGTTCTTTCATGTGTTGACTGGTTTGACAGACTTTTATCTTTTAAATACCTCCACAAGAATAAACCTCAGGGAGTAATGCCAGGAGGAAAAGGTGGGCATAAATATAAATTTATAACCACTTCACCACTCTGTCCACGATATGCATGAAATCTTTTCCAATATGTGCAGCTGCCATCTTATCGTGGTGGGGGGTTTGAGTATGCCAAGGACCCTGACAGCCATACCAGTGGTAGCATAGCTATTGGCAGGGCCTCCCTTGCTGGACAGGTCAAAGGGTAGGCATCAGATGAAGAGAGACACCACAAACCAAAAACTGATACCGGAAGCAGCGTCATCAGCAGCGACTTGAAGCACAGAGCAAATGATGCTCAAGATGGTTCAAGTTCGTACAGCAAAAGGCATGACCTGAGTGGTTTGAATGGCTGTTGTACTGCGATGTGGAAAGTAAATGAAAAAACTACCACATTATCACTTTTCCTGGATAGTCTCTTTCCAAAAACAGAGATACCAAATGTGGTGTTGGAGAAGGATGGAGAAGATCACTTGGACCGATTATGGGAGAAATGAACTGTTATTTAGAGTTAGTGAGTAGAGGAATATCCTACACGAAATAAGAGAAAGATAGAGGGGCGGATAGAAGTGACCAGAAGACGAGAAAGACGTAAGAAGATGCTGGATGACTTTGGGGATAGAAGAGGATATTCTTATTTGAAGGAGAAAGCTCTAGATCACATTAAGTGGAGGAACTGTTTTGGAAGACTGTGGACCTGTCGTCTGACAGATTACTAATGAATGAATGAATGAATGAATGAATGAATATGTAATGAAACTGAAATGATTACTAGACTACAAGTTATACCTGATATTCAGCATGGTTCTTAAGACCAAGACAAAGGAAGGGCTTGAATGCTTCCATGTACTTGAGGAAGCCATCTCCCAACACCTCCACTAATGTGGACACTGCCATTAATGCATCCTCTTGGACGCCACCTGCCTTGCACGAATTTGAATTAAACATCTGAAGGAGAGCAGTCATGATGGCATCTGAGATCTGCGGTGCATCCTCTGGGGTCACCTTTCTCAACACACTCTGCAATATGGACACCAACATGTTAAAACACTTAAGTGTCATGACTAGTGGATAAGGGAGGGGGGGTCTTTGGATTGCACAGTGAGGTGGACAGGAGATGGACAGGAGATTGTCATGTCATATTTTAATAACAGCATGATTCTTTTATGCACGTTAGCTTCAAATTTTCGAGGTCAAATCAAGAAATGTTGTTCTTGATCTGAATGTTCATTTTCCTGTCTCAAAATCTGACAATTTTCTGATAACTGCCTTTACTCTGTGTGTTGGCATTTGATGTCAACCAGGACTGGTACCATATCTACCCAAATGGAAGATGAGCCCCCCCACCATCTAACCCTTTCCAGTTGTCACATTATTTTAGACTTCTGCAGCCACGACGTGAAAGTGATTTAAATGCCTGTGGATCCTCTATGTGAACTGTTTTGCCCAAAAATTTGGTCCATCAAAGGCATTAAATGTAAAAAATAAAAAAGTGTACTTATTGGTACAATATAAGAAGACAAATTCGCCCTCTGTATGAGTGTATGGCATCAGGTTTGTGGAGCGACATGGGCACAAAATGTCTACTGTGCTCTAGTACAAGGTATAAGCATATTCCTTTCTTCTTATAACTATCATTTACTCTTCTATGTACACAAACAATAAAACCCAAAAATCTAGGTCTTCCAATAGAAATGTTTCTTTTCTAGCTCCCTTGACCTTCTGATTACTGTACACAATGCAGTCTTTGCGTTTCTTTGTGTCATGATGGTAGAGGAAGTGAGGTGCTTTACTGTCTCTCTTCTCTGTCTGCTGTTCCCAAATGTGACCTCTTTATTGGGTTATGCATATCACCTACTAGACTTTCAACTAGAGCTCTTTGGTACCTGACATTACATTGATTTCACTCCCATCTGTGAATTCTGGCTGCAGTACAAAATGTATGAATTTACAATGCATACTTCAAGACACCAGAAAAAAATGTTTTCTCCACAACTTCAGGGATTTCCGAATGAAAGCATGTGTGGCGCAGTAATGATCACTGTTACCTACAGCACACATATCCTTCGTAGTCAAGAACACACATTGGCATTTGAATTTCTATCTGCTGCCCCCTTTTCTGAATGGTCACCATTTTTTCCATTGATGTGTCATGATATGTAGATGTCTTGAGCACGACCCTCGTCCTTCCAGCCCATTATCACGACATTCCCACTTCTGTCTTCATTTTCTTCATGGATCACTGCATCACTGGTTTTGGACTGACAACTCTACCAGCAATAATAGTGGCTGTTGTGTGACATTTACGACTGTCCAATTCTTGGGCCAACTGAACATTACTATAATATCTGTCAGTGAAAAGGTGCAACACCACCATACACACCGAGTCCTAATCTGTCCATGTAGGAAAGACCTATTCTCGAAGTGAGTATGGCAAGTCACACACACCACCTCTAAGCCCCCCATAATATGGAAGTATACTGTGAACATAATCAGTGTCACTGTCAGCCAATGCAAATAATCTGATGACCCAACATGTTGGTTGATTTGGATTATAAGTTTTGAAGATTATTTTGCCCTTGAACCCAACTGTTGATTCATGTAGGGTAATGGGATTAGACCCATATTTGACTAGACCTAAAAACACCTTCATTTCAGGAACACATACATCAGACCACCTATTCCAAATAGACCTTGGGCTTAGCTGAAGTTCTGCACTTTTCTCTCTCATGTTCTTGTTTGTTTCTATAACATTATTCAAAAGCTCATCACTGAAAAATACATTAAAATAATTAATGGGCTCTGCATCTGGCAAAATATTAAATTGTGGCCGTAGCAGCCTCTGTAGTCTAGAGGTAACGTTCCCACCTCATGACTCGTGGTACGCAGGTTCAAACCCGGCAGAGGTCGTGGAATTTTTAAGGGCGGAAAAATTCAGGGAACAAGTCCTCCGGGAGGGACTTTAAGCCATGGGTCCCGTGTCGTAGCTTTATGGCACGTAAAAGAACCTACCTCCAAAGGAGGTCACTGAGCCAAATTCAAGGACGTTTCCCGCCCAACAGTAGTCTCTGACAGAGGGGGGGAACCATTATAGATACCGCCAAGCCAGTAGAGGCCGAACTCGCTGGCTCAGTCGGGACTGATGGCACGCACCAATATCGGTAGGGTATAGAGACTGGTAGAATATCATAGAGGGAAGCACAATGGACCAATACTGGTCTAAGTGCATGGGGAAACCCACCCTCTCCAATAACTAACTAACTAACTAACTAACTAACTAACTAAATTGTGGCCATGCATTCCTAGTGAATATGTATTCTTTGGGTTTCTTGTTGCCCACTGTTACTTCTTTCCACAAATCAACACTCACGACACTTGTATCACTCACAATTCTCACTTTCTGACTTTTCTATGCTTGATTCTTCACTTGCAGTTTCTCCTTCAAATGTTGGATGTTGTCATGATGGCTACTGATCCATCAGTAGATCAGAAGCCATCATGACAAGAAACATAATAGATCCAACATCAGAGGACGCTGAAGAACAAGACCTTCAAAAGTGAAAGTGCAGTCAATGTGATGAGTTGAAGTTTAATTCATGAACTTTTTAACCAAGTGGTAATAATATAACTAGTTACAGTGAACTAAATTTTAAATTTTAACTTTTAACATTTGTATTTTTAACTTATATTTTATAAGAAGAACTTGACACATATTATTGAGCGTGGACCTGAACAGGATACAGGATCAAAATAAGTGGAAAAACGAATGTGATTGCGTGTGATTGTGCAACTGTGTTCGTACACCTGAGGATGACCTCTTGAGGTTGAAATATGTAGTGTGACAGTAAATAAAAATGTGTTGTGTGATCGGTAAAATTAACTCTAATATTGATTAAATACACAACAGGATGCAAGAAACAATTAAATTCAGGAATGTTAGCTCTATGCGCTCATAGCAGCAAAACGCGGTACTACAAAAGCTCTGCCCACAAAAAAATTAGTTCGGTTTCTTTTGGGTACCCCATCGTACAGCAATTCCACCATTTTTTTCCATTCTTCAAAAGCATGAAGGAAGTAATTTTCTGTAATGCTGCCAAGTACCACATGCGATTCCCTTTGGATGTCAGACACTGTTTCAAAACATTGTCCCTTCAGTTTCATTTTAAATTTGGGAAAGAAAGTGAAATCACAGGAGATTAAGTCTGGCGAGTAAGAAGGATGGGGAACAATAACCATGTTGTTTGTCACAAAGTCTGTAGTTTTCAGGGATGCGTGGGCAGGCGCATTGTCATGATGGAGACAGTTGTGGTTGCACCAAAGTTCCAGTCTTTTTCATTGCACATTTCCTCTCAAGCATCTCAAAATGTCACAGTAAAAGTCGGAGTTGGCTATAGTGTTAGGAGGAACAAATTCATGGCAAACAATCCCCTTCACGTCAAAAAACCATGAGCATGCTCTTTGTTGAACGAGACCTGCCACACCTTGGTGATTGTTGGCTCTTCCACTGCGACAATTGTTGCTTTGTTTCTGGATCATAATCATAAATCCAACTTTTGTCACCTGTTATGATCCTAGAGATATAAAAGTTGGTTCCTCCTTAGCCTTCTCTTGTAGCTCAACACACACGTTTACGCGCCACCGCTTTTGATCATCTGCCAAGAGTTGCGGAACAAACATCACGGCAATGCGGTGCATGTTCAAATTTTCTGTTAAGATCTCCTAGCAAACTCCATAACCGAACCCCATGGTGTCTGCAAGCTCATGGATTGTTTGGTGATGGTCTTCATGGATGAGTTGTCAAATTTTTTCAACATTTTCTGTCATTTTGCTGGTGCTTGGTCACCCTGAATGTTTGTCATCTTCAACTTATACTCGACTAGCCTTGAAATGTGAATGTCATTCAAAAACGACTGTCCAGCTTAAAGAATGCTCTGCAAAAGCCTTATGAAGCATTTCAAGGGTTTTGTAGCAGATATACTGAGCTTCACCCAAAATTTAATGCAGACACGTTGCTCAATTTTGGCATCCATTGCAGACAAAATTAATCACAAAGTTGAGAAAGCACTTGTGCAAACCAATGCCTGTTCATAGTATGGCGACATGTGGCACACTGACGTGAGGGGCTTGTGGAAGTGTGACCTTGGCCTCCCCTCTCATCTTCTTTCACCGAGGCAGTTACAACAACAACAGTCTAGAACTTTCTGATAGCATCTCATAGCAGTTTGAAAGGGCCATGTCTAGACTGCATTGAGGATGAGGGAGCACTTCCAAGCTAAACTTTTCAATCTTCCCCAACATCAGGTGTGAAGTCTGAGTACATTCATTACTGCATTCAAAGACAATGTCTCATCAGGAGCTTGTTCTGAAGCATCTGAATGCAGTGAACTGCACTGAGTTTTCTTTCTCAGCAGGAAATAAACCAGTGGGGGAACAGAAAGTCTACTACAGAAAATCTAATTTTCAGAAATTTCTCCCAATTCTCACCTTGAATTCATTCTCATAAATGCGTGACTTTACCACAGAAATTATAGAACAAATCAAGTCATACTTTAACAAGGGAGAAAAGCTGATGTACGTGGTGCGTTCCGTATATAATGCCTCCTATTTTTTTGTGTTAATATGTAATGTCTGAGCTGGATGTTGGTGGTGTTGTAGTAAAGGTTGAACCTTCCCGCCAATGTACTGTTAATCTGGTTGTCATGCGACAGATAGCTACAGCAGAGCAGTTACCAAAATGGCGTCTGACATAGAAGTGCATATGAAAGAGAAATGTGTTACTGAATTTCTCACTGCCGAACAAATTGTACCCACTAACATCCATCGACACTTGCTAAAGGTGTACGAAGACAATACAGTGGATGTCAGCACAGTGATTCGGTGGGTAGTGCGTTTCAACCACGGTGAAAGTGAAGTGCACGACAAGCCATGACATGGGTGTCCCTGCTCGGCTGCCACTCCTCACAATGAACAGCGCCTCATCCGAACAGATCAGCAGATAACAATCAGGGACTGTCAATTCTGAACGCTACAAGACGACACTGACTAAGCTGAAAGCCCGTATTTCACGAGTCAGGCCAGAGAAGCAGACAACTTTGCAACCGCTCACTTTGGCTTACACTTCTTGTAACTGTTGGGAGCCACTTCTTGTGACCGCCCCCTTACTATTATTGCATTTATTTATTTATTTGCCCGCTTTGGTAGAACACTTGACTCATTTATTTGCCCGCTTCGGTAGAACACTTGACTCTTTTATTTGCCTGCTTCGGTAGAACACTTGACTCTTCTCAGGGTTGTGTCACGGTAATAACTGGGGCAACGAGGAGACTACACATTTAAAGCTAGTCCACTGATACAAATCAAAGACACTATTTTCTGCTTAATCACAAATTATTTCAGAAGCAAACACTATAACTTTATTGGCAAGTATGGAGTAATGTGCCCTTTTTATTATTATCATCAAAGATTAATCAAACCAAATAAAGACTGTTAAATTTAGATATACTTGGAGAGTACAGTCCAAAGACGTCTGCCTCCGATGAATTCTAAATGCCAAGTCCCTCTGCCCACTCTATTCTGCGGGAGCGTCACTTCATCCACTGTGTAGGATTTGACTGTAGGATTTTAACTGCCAATTCATCATACCATCAGTACTAGACAATCACATTACTAACTTTGAGAATAAAGAGATCCAAAGATATTGAACCCGGAACCCTACATGTGAAAGCGGGTTATTTCTTAGTTTAGGGTCCAATTACACCCTTCTGAAGACACTTTTATAACAGCTACCCCATTAGCAAAACAGCATTTACATCTTCGGCAAACTACAGACTTGCCTTTCGATGGTGGCGCCATGTCCCTTTTGGTCACCCAAGCTGCAGGTAACAAAACAAGGCAGTTGTTCTTGTCTAATTGCGAAAAGCAAGTCATAACTTCTTAATGGATGGGTCTCCCTTATAAATCAGTCACTCTATTGAAATGGCTAAAGAGGAACATAGCGTCCATTAAAGAGTTTTAAAAGGTTTGGACTGTCACAACCTCTCGCTTGCAACACGATAACGCTAGACTCCATACCAGCTTGGCGACCACCACGCACATTGCAAAGTTTGGCTGGACTGTCCTACCACATTCACCTTATAGTCCCGATTTAGCACCTTCAGGCTTCCATCTCTTTGGGCCTATGAAAGACAGACTACGTGGGCAACATTTTCCAGACAACGATGCTGTCATTGCAGCTGTAAGAAAGTGGCTAGCCTCTGTTGGCGCAGACTTTTACGGGTACGACATACACGCTCTTGTTCATCGATGGCAAAAGTGCATAACGAATGGTGGTGATTACGTGGAAAAATAGCTGTAAGTAGCTGAAATCTTGCTCTATTTAACTGCATTATTATGATTTCTGTATCTGTTGTAGTTTTCTTTAAAAAAAAAATAGGAGGCATTATATATGGAACGCCGTTAGTACAAACTTAACCAATCCATAGAATCAATTCTGTTTCTTCCAGTGACAGGATATCAGTGAGAATAATGGCCAGCAACCTACAGCTAAACACAGGTTCCAAATCATGGGGGAGGCATGGTATTGCTCACATTTCCAAGCAAAAAAAAATATTCAGATGTGAAGGCTTCAATGACTTTCAAACAAAACTGACGAGGGATAAACCTTGGAACCCTTTAAATAAAGTGAGATATGACATGGGGACTATGAAGATTACCATATTCCAAAACATAATGCTGTATAGGCTAGCAGACCTTTACCAATATTTCAATGAAACATATGCTATCTACCCTGAACATGGAAGTGGCAGTCCTCTGCTCACATTACAAAGACCACAGAGGTGCTGTGAATGAAGTTCAGCATTTTCTTAATCTTGGCGCAAGATGGCAGTTAATGCAGTGTCATGCTACAGCTTACTGATCTTCAAGCAGCAGGTTGGGTGGGCCTTGAAGAGATCCTTGCATGTGCCAAGAATCAAACTCAGATTCACTTTACTGACATAGTTATCCAGCCTCATTTAATACCAAAAAAAAAAAAAAAAACATACAAATTTAATGAAATCTTCTGGGGCTATCAGCAGTGTCAGTTGGTTAAAAATGAATGACACATGAGAGGTCATCACAGTCACCACTGTAAGGATCTCATGTGACCATGGATACAAGCCATCCAATCTATTTACCAGCCCACGGGCTGGCATAGATGGGATGGTTTGGACCCGAGAGAGTTTCATTTAACTCTAGTTGCCATGAATGCTTCAGATCTTAATATGCAGATATAATTTCTCTAGCACAAGAACTCTAACCTGCAATGTTGCACAGAGGAGGCTTTGCAGGTCATTGTACTGTGCTCGGTCATTGTGACTCTGAATGTGCGTTTCCATCTGCAGCACTTGTTGCAGCCGCTCCAGTATAACCATTGTGGTCTTCTGCACAGTCACATAGCAGTCCCGAGGAGAGTTTTTTACCATTTCCATCAAAGCTTCATATGCTGCTGATCGGAGATTAGCCTGTAGATGAGTCACATAAAAATATTAACACCATTCTTGCATCTGATGCACTCAACCTTTGGCACATGATGAGATATTAAACTAAGTAGCTACAGTCCACATAAGCCATGGCCTGACTTTCTTGGTCCTTACATTAAAATATTCTTACTTTCCATCATACAAGTTCTGCACTCACACCACTGAGAATTTGGCATTTATTGTAAGTACTGAATACAAGTTATAAAAATTATGATTTCTCCCTTTCCAGCTCCCTGGAGCACAGTCCAAATTGCTCAACTACCAAAAGCAATCCAACTTTCAGAAAACTAAAAAAGTGCTCATTACCGTGTCCAAACGATCCACAAGTCTGAGGTCCTATGGAACATTTCATACAATACTCTTTTCATGCTAAGTTGGAATGACACAACAGGACAGTGTATTCCCATTCAGATGGACACAATTACACATGACAAGAAAAGGTTTTCCTCTTTTGGCCAATAAAGGTCACATCCCCACACCAATGCCTTAGTTCCATTACCAAAGGGCCCCCACCTGTGCTCCATCAGGCCTGTCTGTTGTCTCTAGCAGCCTCTGCACAATGAACTCAAAGTACTGCGACAAGCAGTAGGTCTCAGGCTGTGACTGATCCTCACTTCCTTCTGCCTGCTCATAGCTTGCCTCTGCCAGGCCAGTAAATGCCCAGCATACATTTGCTGCTACTCTGGGTTCTGCCTTCAATCCATTGACCAGACTCTCCAGAAGTGGTTTTAGGTAGGTCTCATTTATGGCTGCCTCAGGGATAATCTCACACACACGGCCAAATGTCCATGCTGCTGTATCCCTCACCACAACACTACTATCATACATAGACTCTATCAGTGTTGGCATTGCCTGTTCTACTAGTGGTTTCAAGGTAGTCGGTTCCAATCCACCAAGAACTGAGCCTATAAAGAAGACATATCTATGTTCAGTTAACTTTAAAAACAATATAAATGCCTGTAGTAACAATGGGCTGGGCATGTAAGGTAAGGGGAGAGACAAAGAATGACTATATAATGTTGGTGGCTAAATTTCTCAGAAAACTGCCACATGGAAGAGTGAGAATGAATGGAGAATAACATTTAGCCACTGAGAACTTCCTTAAATAATGTACTTCATTGCTTTGGAAGCCCATATAAATGCCTCAGAAGATCAAGTCAGGCTAGGAGGTAGCTCTTTGGCCTTTCATTGTGTCTCTAGTAAAGCTCATTATTAGTACACAGTGGGTTAAGACGAATATTAAGGGAAGTTCAAAGGATGGGAGGTGGACAGCAATGGCAGACTTTGGTATTCACAGTGCTGAGTTCTGCTATACAAGTTTTTGCTAATTGGTGAAATGATTTCTGTGTTTGAGAACATAACTCAAATTATTCAACAGTTGCATTTTTATAAGAATCTTTTATGTTTTTTAACTCTCACAGGTGGTTTATGTTGTACTTGGTTTACATATTCTATCTTGTGTTGGCGCTGGTGTCTGGAGATAGGGGTCCCAGCTGAGTAGGCTTTTACCTGGGAATCCAGTCTCCAAAACCTTGTGTTTTAAATAAAAACAGGATGTATGTCAAAAAACACAATAACTGATGTAATATACCATCATCACAAACTTTTGGATCTCATGATGATTATCATGTTCACAACAGTCCACAAACAGAATTCTATCCTGAGGCAGCTGTATCCAGTCCTCCCTCTTACACCTTACAGATATATGATCAACTTTAACACTACAATATTAATTCACCTACTGAAGACATCTGTGTACGATGAGCTCAAACTTTCAGAAGCAGGAAAAAGTGGCAAAGAAATTGGCATATGAGAGAGAGAGAATTCTCCTTGGAGAATGACAATTTAGCTTGGGGTAGCAAAATTCACACATTAACCAGGCTACCCATTCCATAACTAGGAACTGGAGGGACAGAAGACTTTCTCTTCTCCACAGCATCCAAAGTGGCTCTGGGACATACCCATCCTCTTATTCAATGGCTACCAGGATTTCTTTCCCCAAGGATAAAGTGGCCAGGGCCTGAAGACGACCACTTACTACCATCTAATGCCATGGTTAAGGATGTGTGGAAATATACCTCTCCTCCCCCCATACATCTTTATGGTACATTGCTTAATTAAGCACTTGGATACCTTTGATTTTATTAGGAGGGTGTCAAGAGTAAAGAAGTATGAGGTGTACTGGAAAGTTCCTGTACTGTTATTGTTGTAACTGCCTCTGTGAAAGATCAGAGGGGAGGCCACGGTCACACTTCTGAAATCCTACTGCATCAGTCTGCCACATGACATTGCGATGTGAATACACATTCTTTTTACACGAGTGCTTTTTCAACTTTCTTTTGTTTTGTCTGCAATGGATGGAAAAACTGAGCAATGTGTCTGCATCAGGTTTTGTGTGATCCTTGGTAAATCCGATACCAAAATCCTTGAAATGCTCCTTGAGGGTTTTAGAGAACACTCTTTAAGACAAACAGTGGTTTCTGAATGGCAACATTTCAAGGAAATTTGAGTGATGATGAACGTTCAGGGCGACCAAGCACCAGCAAAATGACATAAAATGCTGAAAAAATTCAACAATTCATCCACAAAGACCATCACCAAACAATCCATGAGCTTGCAAACACTGCTGGGATCAATTATGGAGTTTTCCAGGAGATCTTAACAGAAAATTTGAACATGCACTGCATTGCAGTGAAGTCTGTTCCCCTACTCATGACAAATGATCAAAAGCAGTGGCACATAAATGTGTCGAGCTATGACAGAAGGCTAACGAGGACCCAACTTTTATCTCCAGGATCATAACGGGTGATGAAAGTTGGATTTACTCGTATGATTATGATCCAGAAACAAAGCAAGAGTCATTGCAGTGGAAGAGCCCATAATCACCAGGAGCAGAAGAGGTGCAGCAGGTCTGCAGTTCAACAAAGAGCATGCTCATTGATTGCTTTTTTCGTGAAGGGGGTTCTTCATGGTGAATTTGATCTTCCGAACACGACGGTCAACTCTGACATTTACTGTAATGTTTTGAGATGCTTGAGAGAAAACGGGGAAATGAAAAAGACCTGAAATTTGGCAAAACCACCAGTGGCTCCTTCATCACGACAATACACCTGCCAAAATGTCCCTGAAAACCACAGAGTTTGTGACTAACAACATGGTTATTGTTCCCCATCATTCCTATTTGCTGGACTTAGCCCGTGATTTCGCTTTGTTTCCCAAATTGAAAATGAAACTGAAAGGATGACATTTTGAAACAGTGTCTGACATCCAAAGGGAATTGGAAGCAGTACTTGATAGCATTAAGGAAAATGACTTCCACGGTGGTTTGGAAGCATTGAAGAAATTATGGGATCGCTGCGTAATTCCCAAGATTATTTTTAAGGAGATGGCAGTTAAAATCGAGTAAGTTAAGCCAGCATTTTTTTGACGTAGTCCGGAAACAAATACAATACACTATCCTAACATTGTTGATAATAGTGCCGTGGGGGGGGGACATTAAAATTCCTTCAAAATGTCCAGCATCAGTAATTACAACCGCAATCACTTAACAGTAGCCTTAAGACAGCACCTTCAGCAAAGGATAATGCATGATGTGTCATATCCTACTCCTGCCTCAAGCATCATACTTCATTTCTCACTCATAGTCTCTTACTCCTCTTTTAATGTGTATAGTAATTCAAACTCCTACAACAAAACCTACTCCTTACAAGTGTGCACATACTACTGAGGCCAACCCAAATGACTGCTGCAGCCAACATTGACATGACTGATTGACTGAAGCATCTATCTACTACTACGGGAAATGTCATGCAACTTGAAAAGAGGTATCAAATACTATTACCACAAATCCATTATATTTATGTCAGTTATCAAGTGTCAAGCTACCAGTTCAAAAACGAAAATCCCCTTGTATGATGCATGCCCCATCTGTGAAGGGACCAAGTTTCAGCAAAAAGGTTGGTGAGGTACATTAAATAAATATGATATCCTCCTACCTATGCCTGAGTCTCTTTATGGATCTTTTTTGTTCAGGTCTTCCATTTCAAACAGAATAACTCAATCAAGCCACAGTAACAATGTGCTGTTACATTCTATTTTCTACAAATACTGCCAGTAACCATAGCTTACCAAAAGCCATGAGTGCAGCATCCCTGAACCTCCAATCAGCACTTTTGATATTGTCTTTGACAAAGGGGAGAACAAATGGCACAATGTCATCTTCACAGCATGTAGCCAGGAGCATGAGACATACACCTGCCGCTTTGCTGGGGTTCCAATCATCTTCATCATCATATTCTTCCTACAAAGTGAACCACAACATGAAAGAAAGCAAATACCACAGCACACAGTGTGACCACAATCTGCACCTTTAGACGGCCATTTTCATTATTCTTACCGATACATCAAGGTGAAAAAGTATGAGAGCAAAAGAGTACAGATTTTCCAAACATGTTCTCTGCTAATCTGCATAACCCATTGGCTCGATCTTCATTTACTGAAGACAAAAATCAACTATTATAAAGCTAATCATCCTACATACATCAACAGCATCTTCTGTTGTATTCTGTCAAATATACCACGTCGAACAGAGATTCCAACAAAAACTGGAAACCTTCGCTAGATCTATATTTTGTCACATGCCAATTATTTGTAAGGCAAGATCTTACCGAAAAATTACAAAATCAGATTTGTGTTTCATGTCAATTTTGTCATCTCCCAAGACAATTCAGTAATTTTGGAGACATAACATATAGACAATTCTGCACTGTGGTCACTCCATACTATTCACTTTGTGCAAAGGTAAAATTTCAGTCCTGAGTACCCATTTCGACACTCTGAGTCTTATCAATGTTACCTGCATTGGCATGCATTATCAGTCTACCATACTTACACAATTTATGCACCCTTACTTTTGGACAACAAATTTGGGGCATGTATGTGTTTACTTCAACATCAGCCACAATTCTTTTCTTGGTTAAACATATATGAATATAAGAATTTAATCACGTAAGGTGTGATCTCATGTACTGCCATCCCCCCGTTTACATGCTCTCAGTTTGAACAAATACATGCTGTGGTTATTGAAGTAACATAAACTATCCTTAGTCTAGTCATGAAATACAGGCATGAGAACCTAAGTGTCTGTAGGTACACAAGGCAAAGAGATGGAGGCTAAGAGGCACTCAGTACACAAGAACTTGCAGTAACTGGTATCCTTCTGCTGTATGGGCATGCACTGTAAGGATTGTTGATATAAGAGACTGCTCAATTATGGCTGAGAACACTGAGTTCTCAGTCACCTATTACATCTCAAGGTGCTGGCATCTCTGTACTCTGTCTCATGCATAAAAAATGAAAAAATTTATGTTAAATACATCAGTTATTTTCTGATCAGTTTTAACTCAGCTGCTCTGTTAATCTAGACTGTCCTATGGCTTCAATCCACCTTGTTCGATTCTGCATCATCCTGCGGCATCAGGCACCTCCCTTCCTCCAGTGCCGACATCAAACTTGCATGATCTGCCCTGGCCAGTCTTATCCCTTCCCCCCCCATTCCCAGAACTTGATTTGGTACAGTGAAGTGTTTCTTCTATCTGGCAGACTGCATGGTGAGTAGTCATCACTAAATTTGGTTTTGTGTATTTTGTTTTCTGGCATGCTGTCATGTTAAAATCCTAAATTATGTTTTGGCATGTTTTGTGCAACACAGCACTGTTTGTTTTATTTGCCTATTTCACTTGAACCCACAGACTTGTTCTAGAACAGGCAGCTCAAACTGAGTTATTTTCAGTGTTGTATTTTGTGAATGTCATACATATTGTGTCTTTTCCTTGGTATTTGGTTCTGTTGTAGGCACGTGTATGTGGTATCAAAGTGGGTGACAGTTATGACTACCTACAGTAGCTCAACTGATGTTATGTGGTGCTGAATCCATCACCAAATTATATGAGGCAGAGAAAATATGTGATCATGTAAATGAGCTTACAGCTACACAGAAATAGTGAACAGGGGAAAATCTTGAGGTAGCAGGTGATGCAGTGAGATAAATTTAAAAGATGAATAAAATGTTCCACCACTTCTGTACATAGAACAGAAAATGTGTTTCCACATTAAAACAGGTGTTCATGAGTTCAGTGAAAAGTCCTATAAAATATAAAACATTAAATAAAAATTTATCTTCCTTCTTTTTTGTTTCTTTGTTCATTAAACAAACCACCAACATTATGGGAATCTTTCAGTCATGTAAATAGAGTACGATTTGCATCGATGAAATATGCCAACTGCCGTAAAAGAAAAATTAACATCCTATCACATTAAATGCTCTCAACTAACCTGCTTTGTAAGTTTCTGCATTAGAACAGGAACAAGGAACTGCAGCGCTCCTTTGGCATAAAACCTTGAAGTCCTCTGAGGTGGCCGTCCAGCTTCCGCTGCTTCACTGTCCTCTATGGCCAAGTCAACTTCCTCATCACTCACATTGGACCAGAATTCAATGCCTTGTAACGCAACATCATCGATATCCGACTTCATAGCTTCCAAAGTGATGGGGAACAGTGCTTGCCCCATATATGTTTCCATATACTGGTAGTATAGAGACATAATCTTCACCAGGCATTGCAGTGCTGCAACTCGTACCTGTGTGTCTGTGGACTGCGTAGCCTCACAAACTACCTCCATTATATAGTTACGTTCAGACTGATGGGAGAAAAACACTCAAATTCAGTACAGAGATTATAACAATGGGAAAGTGCGCACTAATCTGGATTAAATACATCTTTCGAATTGCCACTTTGTGTGCCTCACTGATGTGAACATTTATTTATTGCATGTACAAATGTACAAGAGCACACAGAAACCCACTGTTGGAAGGCCAATCACACTATGACACTGAATCAGGTATTACTTTCCTTTGCATTTCACTCAATATTCACCATAATTAAATTTTTTCATACAAACCATGACATTTATATTGTAGTGTGTACTGCCACTGCTATGCAATAGGTGAATAAACAAGTGTTATGCAACCCGGTGCTAGGCAACAGATCAATAAACACATTCCCATGGCAATGAACACACACACACACAACAGAGTTACTGCTGGAAACAGTGTTCTCTACTCAGTCCATGCAAAGGGGTTATAAGGAAGACAATTGGGGTGACCCAATTAGTTGAGAGTTGAGTTCTGCATGGGAAGATGTGAAGACAGGACCTGATCACAGGAAGCTGAAGAATCTCCACTGTTAGAAGCTGTAGCCAGTGAACGGCTGATGAAGACACTGCTGGTTGGAAGAAGGTTTAGTGGGTACTGTGGTGAATTGTAAAGTGTGGAGATTATGGACAGTGCTGTAATTACATGTAGTTTTGAGTGGTGTATAACTGGTCAATAAATCAATTCACTAATCAGTACCCTGCCTACAGTCAACCCTCAACTGTGCCAATATTTTGCCTTTTTTCTTATCAGGAGCAGGGATAGCTGTTGGTAGCGTGACAGGCTACAGACTGTATGGCCAGGGTTCATTCCTGGCTGGGCAGAAGATCTTTCTCTATCTCAGTGTCCAAACTGGCTCTGGGGTCCAGCCAGCGGGTACCAGGGGCTTTTTTCCCTGGAAGTTAATCAGCCAGGGCATGGAACTGATCAATCACCTTCAACTAGTGCTGAGGTCTAGAAGAGTGAGGCTATACCTCCACTCCTCCCATGTGCTTAAATGAGCTGAGGGACAACTTTAACTTTTACCTTCACCATCTGAAAGTGACTTTTGATAAAACTAACAAAATCTGATTTTGGTTTCAGCAAAGCAGGGGTCATGTTGCACCAAAGTGAACCAAACTTAAATAACTCAGACAACTTTTAATACAAATTCACTGAAATATACCAATTTCAGTGACAGGCTGCGCCATAGCTCAAGCGGTTAGTTGCTGGCTTCTCACCGCAGCTGCCCGGGTTCAATCCCAGGTCTGTTCAAGTGGGATTTGTGGTGGATAAAGTGGCGCTTGGGAGGGGTTTCTCTGAGTACTTCAGTTTCCCCTGCCAATCTTCATTCCACCAAATTCTCCATCATCATAATCATCCAGGGCAGGCTACAACAGGTCAATCAGTAGCCGCCATGCCGAGTGGACCCAGTTGGACTCCACCCCCTACTAAGCGAATTTAATTTCAGTAACAACACATGCAGATGGACAAATATATGGATTTGTTTTTACAAATTTCATACAAAGAATGTTGTTATCTAATTACATAAAAAAAAATACATTGCTGCACATACATACCTCTTTATCAAAATTAGCTCTAGTGAATTCCAAGGAATTAAGAAGGGCAGTTGTTGCAGCTAATCGAACATGGTTGCTTGGTTCGTTCTGACGCATTCCATGAATGATGGCAGTCAATATCTGATTCGACTGGGCCACCAGAACTTCGTGTTCCTGTAAAAGTATTAAAATTGTTAAAGTTCCTTAATACACATATTTTTAGAGAATGCTATACATAATCCTACTAGCTGATGAAGTGTGACACATATTGTATGTAACAAAGTTTATATGCAACATTGTTTGTGACAATCTGTACAAGTTCCACAACACAAAAATACCACATTTCCCAGAAAAGATAATTTTAATCCACAAGTTAGAAAAAAAGAATTGTCAATAAATGTAACTTACAATATCCTGGCAGATGTAACCAATGCCTTCTAGTGTTGCTTCCTTCATCATCTCTGTACTTGTTGGGCTGATGACATTGTTCACCATCACTTGTATTACTTCCGGCCACTGGCCAACAGGGAGCTCTGCTACAGCTACATATGCTACACACTGTGCGGCTGAACTTGGCCTATTATTTTCGGTACCAAGAGCAGCTAGGATCTAGTTAAAAGAAACATACCAAATATAATCCAAACATTTAAACACTATAAAAATTTTAACCTGATACACCACTATCACTGTGAACATCCATAATGTAAAAGTGAATATTGTGTAGGACTTCACCAAAGTGACACACTGTAATCAACAAACCAACTAAATGAAGTTGAGTTCTTTCTGAGAAGCCACCAGTTGCTCAGCTACTAAAGAATTTCTTAAATCTTAAGGAACCCAACAGTTCACTTCCCTGTTCATAAGGGCCTGCGACTGCTAGACAAATCCAGCCTGCACCACCCCATCCTAGTTCTCTATGATGCATTTCAATATTATCTTCCCACCTACTTCTAGGCCTTCCTAGTGGTCCCTTTTCTTCCGGTTTCAGCACCAAAATCCTATATGCATGCCTCTTCTCCCCCATATGTGCTTACATGGCTTGTCCATCTCATCCTCCTTGACTTGATCATTCCAATTACATGTATGATGAGTACAAGTTATGCATCTTTTAAGTATGCAAGCTTCTCCAACTTCCTACCATTTCATCTCTCTTCAACCCAAATAGTCTCATCATCCTGTTCTCATATACCTTCAATCTGTGTTCTCCCCTTAATGCCAGAGACCAAGATTCACACCCATACAAAACTACATTCAAAATCATAATTTTGTATATCTTAATTTTTCATTTTTAGACAGCTGACAAGACAAAAGGATACTGAACTGAATGGTAGCAAGCATTACCCAAACTGAATTTGCCCTTAAATTCCTTGGGAATCAAATTTTGTTTTTTTTTTCTACTTTTGTTCCCAATGTAAATTTTCTTGTATACATGAAATATATAGACTTTATCCAATTTAAAGTATGACTTTGGCTTCACGCCATAAGCTGCAGAGGGTGTTGAATATTTTTCAGCATTTCAGCAAAACATTGCAGTTTCCACTTTCAGTGTTGGGGGGAGAGGGCTTTTTATATAGGTCTGGTAGTGGATGGTGAGGCTGCAAATGCATGAAACAAAGGAGCAGAGAACTATCCAACAGGAAGTGACCAGATGGTTATCTACATAAGGGCTTCCAAACTGCTCCACAGATGGAAACTGCATTTGGCAAAGTACTAGAAAACAATCCATGGGGCTTATGCCTGAAACCCAATGTCATACAATACAAATCTATTTGCCATCATTTACCTTCAAGAACCAGCAAACGAGCAGCAACTGCAATAATCTAACAATTTACAATAAGAATAAAGCCATTACACCTATACAGCTAAAGAAAAAAACACCCAAGCCTTAGTACAAACTTTTCAAGACTTTTAGTATAAACCCATCATGGTAACCTCTAACATAACTTTGGAAAGTTCAGAGCTGGCATGCAAAGTAAATGCACTAATATCTTCTTGGGCAATCAGATTCATCAAAGTCATGTAAAAAAAATCAACATTTTAGAGACCTGCTTTGTTGCCATCATCAGGGATGATACATGGATTGTGGACACATGCACACAGATGCCAGTCAATGCAATGCCTCCTCCACATTGGCACATTAGCTAACAGTATGGCAGTAGAACTGAGCAGTTCTGGTCTCAAGACTAGTGAAGGATGAATTAGGATTGAAGGCCTAAGGCAGATGTGTTACAGTGGCAGCTTCTGAGCACCTAGCATTACTAAGAGGTCTTGCAGTCAGATTACTGTTTCTCTCTTGGTCAACCATGTTCTTCTGCATCTTATGAGGTGGTCATGTGCCAAGCCTCCATTTAGATTGAGCTTAGGTTAGTTCAATGAATATTTTAGGACATCTGATACTCTGGAGAGGGGCAAGTGGTATTATGGTTGAGGCACTATGCTACAAGCCAGAAGGTTGAGGGTTCAATTCGTGATGATGTCACTGGATTTTTCAATTGACCTAACCCTTCCAGCCACATTATGGTCCTGGGGTTGATTCAGCCACAAACAGAAATAAGTAAAAGGAATCTTCTTGGGGGTGAAGAGTGACCATGTGAAGATGACTACCTCACTGCCACCTGTTGAGCCAACTGTCTAGAAAATGTAGAAGCCTAGACATCTCACAACCCTATGGGCCTCCATGGCCTGTTACACAAATAACTTCACCTTTTATACTCTGGAGAACTTCAATGCATGAATATAAACATTTTATGGAGGTGCAAGGAATGCCTATGTATCAATCAGGCCTATTTCCAGTATCTGCTGTGATGCTTGTCAACTATGCCACACCTGAATATGTGCAATGGAAAACGATTCAAGTAGCCCGTGTTCCTCCTGCTTGAGTGGTTAAAGGATTTCTGGGCACCTCTCAGGTGTCCTCCATATTGCAACAAAGACCAAAGAGCCCATAAAATAAAAATAGATGTGGGTGAACTAGAAAACCAGTAACAAATCAAATATTGGACTTGGGCAGTTTATCTACTAATGACAACACCTACTCCTGTACTGGATACTTGTGTATCACACCAAGCTGGATTATTAAGGTAATGTAAGCAAATCACATACTTTTACTCTGTGTATACTACAGGACTTGTGGTGCAAATCTGATTTACACAGTAATTTCAGTCCAAGCACTTTCGGGAAGGGGGTAATTTTCTGCGATCAGGTTATTACAAATGATTTAGCTTCTCTGGTGCTGTTAGGACAAGGACAAAACAAAGTAATTCAATTTATTCCTATGTCCACACTGAGAAATACAGTGAACTTTCAGTTACCTGTGGTAAAATGGGAGAAGCAGCTTGCTCAATTAAAAACAATGGATAATAAACTGGAAATACCCACTATCTATACTGCAGACAACCTTGAAAACCATTCACTACTTTGACAAGATCTTCTGAACTTACAATTTCCTTCATCTTTTCCCTATGCCATGTAACGTCACTGCACTTACATGAGTACTGAACACAAACAAACACGCAAAAAACAAAAGCAAAATCTGCTACAACTACTTAATCTAATCCAACCTTTCCCTTACAATGACTGTTTCTTTCTTATTCTTCTCAGCATGCACAATACCAGCCTATACGGAAGACATGTCACTCTGTTGCTCTAAATCAGGCATGTTCAACACGTCAATCGCGGGACGATTTTTGGTCAATCTCATAGGCCTATAAGAATATATGTGAAAAGCATATAAATTCACTTGTAATATACATAATATGATTATATTCAGATTCTGAAGGGAAAATATGCATTAAAGTAGGCTATATTTTCAATGTATGTTGCTTTTACAACAAACATCATGTGTCGTGTTATTTTTACCAACATTTTTCCTTAAAGCGACATACGACAATAGGAAGGGATGGTAGATCACTGGCAGTTTTGACACCAAAAAGTTGATCACAACCTGTTTGAAGTTGGACATGTCTGCTCTAAATAATCCAGCAAACCCTTGGTCCATTCAAGGGCATATGCACTGCTGATATGCTTTTCTGGAAACATCTGTGTTTCATCCTCAATGCCATCTTATTCGATTCTTGTTCCTGTGCTCTTCTAGCAATATTACTGTCACTCAGTATTTTCTAACCTTGGTCAGTACAGTCAATACCAAAACTACTGAGGAATTTTTTTCACTATCAACTTTTGAAGCATTGCATGTTTTGCAAAATGGCACAAAACTTGGCAGCTGAGATATCTCCTTCCTCAAACCCCATGCAGTCTTCAATTTCATATCCTGGAAGTACATTTATTCTTACAACTTGCTAATTACTCAGGCTTCACCATATGCCAAGCATATATGACATTCCAAAACAGTCTGAGAACACCCTCCATCAATGAATTTTGGTAGAAAACCTGGATACCGCGGTGTTTCATCTAACAACAGTAGAGCCTTCTCTTGCACTCTCCAATCTCTGATGCTCATATGCCTGTGGCACAGAAATGCTGCTAAATGTTTAAAAAATGAATCACCCCAGATTTCTATCTATTTAAACTGGAGTGACATGCATACCTGTACTTTCAGTTCCTTTGTAAGGGGTGGGGAGAACATGGGTTTCTTACTTCACTGACCACACAAAACTCAATTTCATGTGAGGCTGCAGCACTAGCAAAACACAACACAGAATTCTCCCCTGACATGATACATGCACAGGTGCACAAGGTTCAGATTAAAATGCTAATGTCCATATTGAGAGAAAACTTAAGACTTTCTTTCCAAATAATAATAATAATAATAAAAAACTCTGTGGCCTGCAGTCCATAAGTGAACTATACAAGACTGAGTGTCCTTGATTCATGGCTTCTCAGTTGCAACTACTCGCAAATTATCTTTGGTGTCCCTTGTAAGCCTTCAGCATGGACCACGCATAGAAAATCCATCTATTACTGTAGATGTGTTTACAGTTGCTGTATAGCACTGGGCATGGGGTGGACCATACTGAAAACACAAGTCACATGATTCCTACCCAGCGAGTTCATCGGCGCGCAGCATGTTGCCTAGCAAAGAGCTATAAACATGTGTCCTATTGTTATGTGCGTGTATCGCAGCGTGTCTATTGAGCCGTGGCCTGGTAATCTGTTGACATGTCACAATATTATTCCTTGAACCATGTTTAACAAGCCAAAGGAAGCACTGAAATCTCCCTTCCTTTTCTTATGCTTAAAAACAAAACTCTGCTGCTTTCATATAAATTATTCTGGAAACAGGAGTCTTCTCTGTTCCTTGCTAATTTATTCCATTCTAACACAGCGTTATCAAGTTCTTCTTGGTACACATTTCATCACTTTTATTCTGAAAAGCTGCCAGTTGAATCACAATTGCTAGTGTAATATACTGATTTAGCTTTCTTTTTGCAACTGTTGCAGATATCTGTTTCCCCTTTACCAAACGTCACTGTAATGTTTTCGGTGGAACTTTCTTCTTCAGGTTTCTGTACTGTTTCTAGTTCACTTCTATGTCAAAACCACGCCCTAAGATTTATCTGCCGCCTCTCTAACTACATACAATATACAGAGAGTTGCTTAACACTGTAACAACTAAATCTGAAATACAAACTGTGCCACATAAATCCACATTGAATGTGATAGGCTAAGGGAACACTACTTTTAAAATGAAAAATTAAATTCCCTATGTCTACAACATTGTTTAACCCTTCAAAGCAGGGGCACATAACCGCCAGAATACAGAATGATGCAAGACCAGTATTTGACGGTATTTAAATTTTCCTTAGGGAATGTATTTTGAACTGAATAACTTCCATGTTCCCTTTTCAATTAGAACGAAATCTGGAATGTGAGTTTCCTACAGACTCTAGACTATAATTATGCATTTTGTATTAACACAGAACATTTTCAGTGTGTTGTATGCCTCAATACATTCAACACATACAGCAGGATCACAATCTAAACAATGGTAAGTAGTCTGCTTTCTACTGTTATGCTTGGATGTAATAGTTTTATATTTGTATCACTAGGTAGCAGCACAGTCCAGCTTCATGCAAGTCTAGGTATCAGACATGCATGTGCATGTTCAGAGGCTGGTTTCCGGGGTCAAAAATGGCAACCATGCTTGAAGACTATACTACCAAAGAACAGAATTCTGTTTTCTTTTCGTGGGCAAATGGACTCAATACGAAGGATATTCATGAAGAAATGTTTCCTGTTTATGATGGGAAGTGTTTGTCATGTAAAGCAGCTCACAAATGGGTTGAGAAATTCTCTCAACGATGTTTGAAAGTCGCAGATGACACCTGACCAGGTGGGGAAATGGCTGAGACAACAGTCAAAAGACTTCTATGCTGTGCGTTTCGATGCACTGGTAAAGTGATGGGACAAGCATATCAATGTTAATGGTGGATATGTCGAGAAATAAACGTTTTTCCTTGTTTGAATACCACATTTTTACATTTTATATCCAATTGTGACCTATTTACTGACGCTCCCTTGTAGCAATCCATCTTTTCTACAATTTTCTGTATTAGTTCCTTATGAACAATTAAATTATACCCAATCAATCACACCTTGCATTCTATTTTGAAGTCCACACATTAGTATAAAACGTTCTCCATCTAGTGCAATTATCCACACCTCCAACAGAAGATCTGACACACAAATATCACTACTTCACTACAAATTTATCACTTTCCATGGTACTGGAAATATCATTCTGAAAATCCCTTCTTTCACTTGGTGTCATGGTTGCACACTGAAACTTGTACTCATTTACAATAAGACTAGTGTAAACATGTGCGCAGAAAGAATAATAAGCACGACATCTTTTCATGGTATCATGGACACTTAGCATCAAAAGAACAATGAGATAGAATCACATATCATACATTGTGACCCAGTTGCTGATGGAACATCAGGACATTATAACTATCAAGAGTTGAATGAAATCAAGGATAGGTCAATTTTTATATGCAGTGACACCTAATGATCTCTATTAGATATGCAGAATGGCTAACAAATGGAAGTACCCTGGCTAGCTATCTGGAGCGCACTCATTTGAAGTTCACAAAAACTCCTTCTACAAGATGGCATTTGTTAGTGCTTGACAATGATAAAGGGTGGAGTTTGTTCTACTCACATTAAAAGGATTTTTCTTTCTCTTCAAAGCAACTCCACAATGATGATGTTTCTAAAGCTCACAATATAAAACATTAACATTTCATGTTATAAGTAAAAATCTCACCACATATGATGTGGCAATCTGATAAATATACTCAGTGATCCTCAGTGAAGGGTCATTTGAGTAGAAAAGAAGTATGAAATAGAAATGAACGAACTAACTCTATATGAAGTTAAAACCTGTATACTGTAGTCAGCTGGTTGTGCTGCTAGTCACTGAACACTGAGACAATCATCTTTCCAACAGAAGAAAGTTACTATTGTTCAGTAGCAGGACAATGAGAAAATCAACAAAATAATAAAATATAAAGTTGTGACAGATGGGATTAGTCTACTACAATACATTGTAACACATCTCTGATACATATTATGAGAACATATGTAATGGGCACCACTTAATTTGTTAAACATTTGCTATAATCAATAATTTAGGCATTCTAGGTGTTATGCAGATAATCAAAAGTCGACTGCAGTACCATATGGAATGTGTTACAAATTTTGGCTAGAACTGAGTCTGGGAGTGCATATATCATCAATCATAATTTCTTTGCTGTAGGTACATAAGCTCATAGATGCCTATTATAAGGAATACTGCAGAAGCCAGCTTTTCTCTAAACCCCTACCATGCAGTTCTCTTACCATTAAGATAGACATAAAACAGGATACACAAATCATATAAATTAGTAAGAGAATATGGGTTAGCACCTTCTAGAGTATGTAACAACCACTTTTTTGCACATGCAAGGGATAACTGTTACAGAGGAGCTCACCATTTCCTATGTGACAGCATTATCAGTGCCTTTCATCACCACAAATTATTCTAACACTAAAATAAGAGATGAATTTACTGAATGGTCAAAATAAAACACTCCCCATAATACAAACATGTAATAATTTAAAACTTTATAATAGTAATAATAGGAAATAACATTACATTTTTCTTGATATAAGCTCTGGTTTCCTCTGGAAAGGAAAGCCAGCGCTGCTGATATTGCGTTTTAACAGCAGCATCCTTCGATGTAAGTGTATTCTTGAGTTGCAGGCCTGCTGCCATTCGTGCCACAGGGCTATTTCCACCATGGTAAAGTATGTCTGATAAGGTCTTCACAAATTCAGGCTGTTCACAAAGAAACAAATAGAAATTAAACATAAACCATGTGTTGCCCTGTAATCGTTTACACACTTTCCCGAAAACGTGTTTCCAATGTTAAATGATACATACGTACCAAATTATTTTGTGCTGCTTGCTCCAAATAATTCTGCGCTGCCTCCAATTCACTTTTATCTATAAATAATTCAAACAGAAACTCTTTTAAAGCTCATTTCAAGTATTGCAAAAAATTACTGAATCCGTCACACGGCAAAACTGTTAGGTCCACCATATTGTAGGTTATGTGACGGAGTATTTAAAATGTAATATTGATCTAACCAGAATTAGGATACTTGTATGTTCAACATAATTATCCCACATAATATTCTGCATAATTTAACTAGAAAAAGTTAAATTAAGGGCAAAGCTTACATAAAGTTTCTGAAAGATTTCCCAACTTATTTGCGTTTCATGCGAGGCCATGAGACATCAGTAACGAATTTTCTTTGAAACAATGATCAAAATTTGTATTAATTTTTCATGTTTTACATAAATACCTGGTGAAACAGTCTTCTCTAATATTTGAATAAGTTGTAAAGTAGTTTCTGGATTCATCGTAGTTGCTATCGGCGCTATATTGTCAACGGTTTATTAATATTTCAGCAGAAAGATCTTCTTCGCTTCTACAGCCGGTAATCGCCCACATGTACAATGTACCATTGCGCAGGAATATCACACAAATATCATAAAACATAAAGGAAGAGCCTGTAAAATAGAATTAATACATTATAATAGTTGTGAATATTTTTCATCACGTTGTGAGCCGCTAAGAACGGAACCCACGCCCTGTGAAATGTTACTTTGTAATACACCAGGAACTATATTTTCTTCCGCATGAATCATGGTCTCCCAGTTATGAAAAATTTCGCGCCAACCTTTCCCATCTTCTGCTCAAGTTCGTCCGAATTACTGCAGATGGCGCATTTGTCTGAGGAAATAACGGCTTTAGCGCAAAGATAGGCGGGATTGGTATGTTCGGTACAGAATTTTCCCGAAAAGTTAGTTTGTCAATAGATGACAGCCATGGGCGGATTCAAGACTTGCGCCATCTAGATGTCCGTTTTGCATGGTGTGAACTGTTCGCAGTGTGCGAGCACAGATGTATACATGAGAGTGGAATTGAAGCCAGAGAAAGGTTCTGTTCCCGGTACCATCTCGCAAATACCCAAAGAACCATTCGTGTGCACTTACTATAATTCTTAGACCGCTACCGCATGCACTCGTATTGCTAAAACTTCTTGGCTAACACTACGTCTACTGGCTGCGAGGAGGGTGAGAGAAGTGCGCAGCTGCCCAAGGTCTCGAACGGTTTCGAACGCCTCAAACCAACTGGGGTTTTGCAGGACTCGCACGGCTCGCACGTGTGTCTGATAACGCACACAGCCGTGGTAGAAAATACACAAGTATACCGATGCAAATTCTCATTTGCGTGTCATCTGGGATTTTGTGTTAATGAAGTTTTCCTTGCAGGCTTACGTCTACAGCTTTGAATGCGAGTAGTATTTTGGTCAAAGGAAACCGTTCCCTGATATATCAGGAAAACATCTCTGTTAACTTTGATATGAAGGTTAGACCAAGTATATTCAAAGCTATTAGATCACAGGAAATATGCTGATTGCACTGGCTACAGGATGAGAGCCAAGTGGAAATATTACAACCATGTAATACGTGAAGGTAACATATATTTTCTGAAAAAAAAGAGGGAATCTATGAAAGACAAAATGAAAGAACTCGAAACAAATAGTAAGAATAAGAATAAGAATATCATAGACCTGTATAATCAGATGAATTCAAGAAGGGTTGAAAAGATATAAATAGCAGATATAGACCAAATCTGGTAATGTTATAATATTATATTTCAGCATGCTATTGCAATAAATACAGTAGTTAATTCTATTACTGAAGATTCCGTCTCTTCCTTCAGTTTAGTTAACAATTGGTTGTTGTGTGATTGCTCCCCACTGTCGCGTTACTTGAACTTCGTGATCAGATGTTTTTGCTCCTTACGGCCATCACTGGATGTGAGGTGTACGTCTCTTCGTCACTTCACTGTATTTGTCTCATGTCTAGAAGACAATTTGTTTTAAATTAATTCAAGCATTGAGTTTAAAATAATTAGGCTTCTCTCGAAATGAGTAAAATGCACTGCAACAACGTACATTATATGATTAATATAACTGATGACAGCCATGTGAGGCCGAAAGAATGTTGTGAACAAATAAATGAATGTAACAGGACAGTGGGAAACAATTACACAATCACTGAATATTAACGAAGGTTGCAGAGAAAAAGCAAGAATTTTTAATTAATAAAGTTAAATTCGTCTGTTGCGTTCGGGGAAAACATGAACTTCGACTATTTCACAGCAAGCTACTGGTGACCCCAGATGGAGCTTCAGCATTTGTATTACTCGCCAAATATTAACACAAGAATCATATGAAAGAATATGAGATGCACAGGGCATGTAACACGCTTGGGAGAACTGGAAGGTGCACACTAAAAAGTTATGGTAGGAAACCTGGAAGGAAAGGGACTATGGATGACGCAGGTGGAGATGAAAGGATACTATTAAAATGGATCTTAAAGGAATAGCATGGGCCCCAGTAGGCCTAGGCCTACCTCCATGAACTCCGTTTACTTCGGTTTTTATCGATCTTACACGTTCGGTAGGACTCCTTGGGCGAGTGATCAGCTCGTCGCAAGGCCTCTACCTGTAGACAAACACAGAAAAACTCACACAACCATCCATGCCCTGAGTGGGATTCGAACCCACGATCCCGGCTTCCGAGCGAGAGAAGACAGTGCATGCCTTAGACCTCTCGGCTACCGTGACCGGCTTCCTGACATTTTTTATTTCAGCCTTTTGTCAAATGAAACAGCTTTATGTCTTACTACAGGATCCTGACGAGCTGGAGTGCATTGTGACGGAAGAGGGCGGAAACGTAGTTTTGGCCTTGGTCAGCATACAACAGTATTCCAGGCATGCGCAGTTGGGAATTTAGATAGAAACTACAAAAATAGGAATATCTATATTCTGTACCAAGGGCATCCAAACTACGGCCCGCGATGTGATTTTATCCGGCCCGCAAAAGAATTGTGCAGAAATGCGCCAATTGAACTAATTTTCCAATGAGTAATGGTAAAAAAAATACTTGTTCATACTTGTCGTACTTATTACCATTTTTGTATTAAAGGCAACTTATGCCCAGTTTTGCTCTAACTGTTCCGAGAATTGGTAGCGAGGAATGTTGATAAGGCTAGCGGAACTTTAGTCCATTCTACGACGGCCAGCGTGGTACGGCTATCGGTACTGAAGGTACTGAACGTACTGAATGTGTAGGAGTAGAGGAGTTCAGTAAGTTCAGTACGCAGGCGGCATGTACGTAAGTGTACGGGTAGCAGTGTGTGTAGTGTAGTTGATGTGTGTAATAAAGTAAGTGATTTTTAAAAGTCAGTGGTTACAGTTACATGATATTCAATTTGTAATTGAACAAATTTATTCATATATTTGCGTGTACAGAGATCTCGTAATTTTAATAATTTCATAATTATATATACATTTATTTATTTAAACATTTTCAATTAACAAGAGTGTACATAGTAAAATTACTAGAATATTTGTTATTTTTATTTAGTATTCATTTTATTATTAATTTTTGTATTATTCTCTTTTCAAGTTTTAACATGGATGGAAAAAAGAAAAGAAAAATTGACGATGAATACCATGCGTTTAATGAAGAATGGGGGCAAAATATTTTTTCATACAATCGAATTCAAAGGATAAAGCTGTATGTCTGATATGTAAAGATACTATTGCTGTGTTGAAAGAATACAATATACGTCGTCACTATGACACGAAGCATGCTTCAACGTTTTCACAATTTAAAGAAAAGCAGCGTTCAGATAAATTTGAATCATTTCGTTGTTGTTTGCATTCTCAGCAAGACTTATTTACGAAAGCAACATCAGAAAATGAAGCCTTAACCTTGGTAAGCTATAAGGTTGCTTATGTGTTGGCTAAAAATGGAAAACCATTCACTGATGGTAATATCATCAAAGAGTGTATGCTGGAAGCAGTGACTGAGTTGCGCCCCGAAAAACTTAATCTTTTTAAAATGATAAGTCTTGCACCAAATACTGTTGCTCGTTGGATTGAAAATATGGGAAATAATATTGTCCAGCAAATTGTAGGCAAAGCACAGTGTTTCAGTTGGTATTCTATCGCACTGGATGAATCAACTGATGTTTGTAATACTACCTCTCAACTATTAGTATTTTTTTGTGGTGTTGACGATGAACTTAATGTTACACAGGAATTAGCGTCACTTCACAGCATGCCTGGCACTACAACAGGAGATGATATCTTCAAAGAAATACAAAAAACACTAACAGAATATAATTTGCACTGGAACCATCTGCAGTTCGTGACAGTTGATGGAGGAAAAAACATGTCTGGTATAAAAATAGGTTTGCTTGGCCAAATCACAAAAGCTTGTGAGGATGCAGGAATATCAAAGCCAATGTTTCTTCACTATATTATATTTAAGCATCCTGTTGCACTCCATAGATAAATGATATAATGATACAAATTCCGTCCCAAGTGCAAACAATATATTATGTGTCCTTGATCTTGTTCCTCTACACTACATGTTTCGGCGTCAGACGGCCATCATCAGGTGTATAACACTCACGTTGCTGTCACACTGCACTCAGCCCAAAATTTAACGTTTAAAACACTTTCCTTGTTATTATCAACATCTACTTCGTTGATATCTGTCTGGTTTGTAGATTATTTTACACATGTTAATTTTGACGTACCTGTAATAGTACTATAAAATCTTTAGTTCTAATTTTAAAATCCTTTAAAATTTTTCACTAAATTTAAAATTTAAAATTGTTAGGGTTACTCGCCCTATGTCTAAAGTGCTGCAGCGGCTAGTTCTTGTTTCCACACTGTATAGGTGTTTTCCTGTTTAGTCTTCCTGTGTGCGTGCCACTGTTATTCTTTACTACGTGTCTTCACTATGTTATCCACCAACAAGCACTTTGTGGAAAACATGTTGATATGAGCTCTGTTTTAAAACCTGTTATTTGTATCATTAATTTCATTCGCTGTCATGTACTTAACCATTGCCAGTTTCTGTCTGTTCTTGAGGAATGTGATTCCGACCTTATTGACCTGACATATTACACTGCAGTTCGATGGCTTATCTGTGGAAAGGTTCTTTCGCGCTTCTTTCAGCTCAGGAATGAAACTGATAATTTCTAACCGAGAAAACCCATCATGAACCACTTTTATCAGATACCGAGTGGCTTTGGAAATTAGCATTTTTTGCTGATCTGGTGAACCATATGAAGAGTTTGAATGTAAAGTTGCAGGGTGAAAATAACTTAGTCTGTGATTTATTTGCACTTATAAAGGCATTCAGAGCAAAGTTGATACTTCTGGAAAGCCAAGTGAAAAATTGTAACTTTGTTCATATGCTATACTGTGCAGAGTAGCATAAAAAGGGTGAAGAAGAATTTCCTTCCTCGTTTGCAAATTTAGTCATTTCAGATTTGAAAGAACAATTTTGGAAGCGATTTGCTGATTTGGATTCCAGTGCTCAGGAAATTAGATTGTTTCAAAATCCATTTGACTGTGATGCTGCAGATGTCCCAAGTCAAATTCAAATGGAAATTATTGAACTTCAGGAAAATTATCATACTAAAGACAAATACAAGGAAGGAAATTTGATCGAATTTTATAAATTTCTGAACTCTGAGCAATTTCCAAATTTAAAGAAATTTGCTTGTAAATTTATCTCCATTTTTGGGACGATATACGTGTATCTGTGTGAACAAACTTTTTCCCAGTTGAAGTACATCAAGTCGAAAGACAGGGCAAATTTATCCGATGAACATTTAAAGTCGCTACTTGTGATTAGCGTTTCAAAATTTGAACCTCAATTTAATCAGATTTTAAGAATGCAAAAAGAGTTCCATCATNCTGAACACATTTCCTCTTTCCACGTGCAGAACCATCCCAGTTCTATTTTCATTCCACCTCAAGCACTGCTCATATACCTAGAGTTATTAATTTCTCATTTTATCTGGCCCATTGAAAGTGCTGAATTACCTAATGTGGCCTGTGTTTCAAAAAGTTTGGAGACCCCTGTTCTATACGATAGTCAAGCTGCAATCAAAGCACTTGGTACACACCAAATCACTTCAAAATTGACTTGGGATTGCCACCACTCCCTCACACAACTGGCCAGACATGACAGAGTTCAGCTGATATGGGTGCCAGGCCATGAGGCTGTTGCAGGGAATGAAACTGCAGATCAGTTGGCAAGAACAGGAGCTGAACAACCACTCATGGGACCTGAACCAGCTTGTGGCATCAAAATTGGAGTTGCCAAGAAAGTGATCAGGGACTGGACTAACAGAAATCACAAAAAAACACTTGGAATCCACAACTGGACTCAAAACAGGCAAAAGGATTTGTATCAGGACCCTTTGGCAAAAGAACGAATGACCTGTTAAAATTAAACAGAGATCAATTAAGATAGGTGGTAGGATTACTTACTGGACACTGTCACCTAAAAGGGCACATTTTCAAACTGGGACTGACAGACGACCCAACTTGTAAAAGGTGCCTACAAGATGAATCAGCCACGCTCATCTTATGTGATTGTGAGGCTATACCTTACCTAAGATATCGCCACCTGGTCAATTCTTCATGGAACCAAGTGACTTTTATGACGCCCCCATAAATAAAGTCCTACATTTCATTCGAAGTGTAGGATTAATAAAGGGTTAATCCAAAGGGGAAGCACAATAGATCATTGAAGGTCCCAGTGCAAGGGCCGGTTTTTATGGCTCAACCCTCATACTCGTAGGCTCCTCCATCAAAGACCAAGCTGTACCTATCATTAAACAGGCTCATTTATGCTTAAGATAATACTGTTTTTTTTTATCCTCTATTTGCATCACTATAATCTATTTATTGTTTACTCAATGGTCCTATCAGGACCTCACTGTATATGCGCCTATAGCATCACTTGGTAGGATGACAGAGAATAATGAACTGGAAAGCACGTGAAATGAAGTGGTCTTGGCCAAATTTGAGTTAAAAGTAGTGACGCTATCATGGAGAGACTGAAAAAAAAAAAACTTGGAAAACCTTGTTCAGGACAGTACGAGTCCCAACCATGATTCAGACTGGACACGTTCTGCTCTCATGTCAGAAGAGTTACTGCCTGAGCCAACTTTCTGAGGTTTTGTCAGAAGAAAATTAAATCTAATACACCTCATTCAACCTTTTCTAAATTTCATAAGCTCATAAAAATTGACATGAAATCAGGTAGACAGAACTGGCTAAAGCAGTTTTGGAAGTATGTTTCAAATTTTATTAGGCATGATAATGTCACAACTGAAAGATTATGATCAGCTTGTAATGGAACTGAAAATTATTGCTGATATTTTGACAGTTGTTTTAAATCTACTTTTAACACACCTTGTCAGACTGCTTCTCTGTATTCTGTTAGAACATACAAATTACCTATGGCTGCTATCTCTGCCACTTAAGTCAACAGAGCTATAAAGAATTCAGTTCATCCAAGAGTGTTGGTCTTAATGGAATTCCATGCTTCATAATTAAGGGAAGTTCTCATGTTTCTATTCCATTGGTAATTTATATTCTTAACCTCAATGCAACAAGTGAAACATTCCCATCTCAGTTGAAACAGGCAGCTGCTGTTCCAGCATTCATCCCTTCCGGTGCCAAGTAGCCAACTACTTATTCACTGGGTTCTGCTAAATGTGCCACTGATCAATATCCTGGTTTTGTGAGTATGTATGTCAGCCACATTTGTCTACACTAATAATTCCCAAATCAGCCACTAGATTTCATTTCTAAGCCTTGCAGCAAATACAGCGGAAGCTTCTTGTTGCTTCCAAGTCTGGCACATTCTGCTATGGCATAAGAACCAAATTTATTTAACATTTTTACCATGTAATCTGGGAAATATCATTCAATTTGTCTAGTAACCTTGCTTCTCTTACATCAATGCTGTGTTGGGCATTAAAATGTTGTGTGTGTGCATACTATTTTGTGGAAAATGGCTTGTGATGTGATGTGATAAAAGATGAGCAAGTAGGTGAAGTTTTGAGGAAAAAGATGATCCTTATGAAAGTGATGTATGACAATATGGATGATGTAGAATCATTAGATAACTGTGATTACCTAACATGAAGACTTGCCACTTTAAGGGAACGCACGGACTACATACATACTACACTTGAGAGCTCCACCACATGGTTCAATATAATGTTCATGAATTGAATACACAAACAATTCATCCAACTTACATGAAAATTGTATCGACACTTGAGATATCTTGCAAAAGGAGGAAGAGGAGGAGGAGGAGAGGTTCGGGGATGATATAATTAGATTTGGAACAACTACCAGGAATAACGCATTGTAAAGCTCTTTATTTTGTAACAAGAGTCCAAACATGTACCAAGAGGCTGGCTATATGGAGGGCGGAAGAACATGGTGGCCACGTACATAGCCTGGCTCTCTGGCTGAATAACTCCAGCAGTTCCAGTAATAGAAGATTGTAAGGTCCACTTAAAATTAGCAAACTAACACGTCTATGTTAAAAAGTATATGGCAAGAATAAAATGATTCCCAAAATAATGAAATCTATGGATAAAAAACATAAAAAGAAACTGCTACACTCTTAGCTTTAGCAGGCGACTATTCTTAGTATGGTAATAATGGTAGGGTTAAAAATATCTTTGGTATCATGGCCACCTACAACAACAAACACATTGCACCATGCAAAAATATGACAAGTATGTGTAAGATCATTATGTTTGTAATGAAAAAGTGCAATTTCTTTGACACATAGCTGCTTGTTATTACACATGGCTGGCAATATTAAGAGTGCATTAAAAAAAAGCAGGTACAAAATATTTCTTATGATAATTACATTATGGACTGATAGGTTTCTTCAAACTCAAGAGATTGAATCTGACGAAGTCAAAAAAAAATAGTATAGTAATAGCTTTGTAGACATTAAAAATATATACATCATACTAAGATAATTATTATGATATGTCTATATTTATAAGTAATATACATTATGTTGTAATAGTTCATAAGTTAAAAGTATTAAAGTTGGAAGAATTTTTACTTATTTTCCAAAGCAACTTTTAGATGACTAAAATGAAACAGAACATAATACATGTTTTAAGTACAAAGTGATATTTATATTAATATGAAGATCCTCAGTTTGACCATAAATACCTAATAACTCTCTATTTTACTCCTTTTGCACCATTCATACTTCATAATGTGGTAACTCTGTATGTGACTACAATGTATGGCACCTATCATTGTGCAACAGTGTGAAACAAAAATCTGCAGGAGAGAGCTCTTTGATTAATACACTCACATTTACAATAGGTATAATGACCACAATCAAACTGGACACAGCTAACAATATAGGAGGGGGGAAAATAAGATAAGTATGCATGTGAGATAAGTATCTTCAGAAAACACCAGTACTGTATATAGCATGCCCAGACATTGGCATTAAACACAACATCAAAATGATTCTTCTGAACTAAAGGGACAAAGAAAATGTTTATAGAACAAACACCTAAATAACAATGACAATGATAACACCTATCACCATACTGCATTCTACCACAAATGTCACTACACTTTTGAAAAGGCAGCATCATATTCCAAGGCAGTACAAAAGTTAATTTCCTTTTTCTTCTTATTTTATATATAATTCAGTTTAACAACATCTCACTGGTAATGATATGATGATTATATGGAAAAATTATTTAATACTTGTTCTACTCACACATTCATCTGAAATATCCGGCACATCACATTAGGCTAGTGCTATCACCCCTTGTGGCACATTACAATCACCTTATCTTTCACCACCTCTTTTAAAATATACCTTTCTATCTTTGTACCTCAAAATATAGTATCAATATATATATAATATACATTATCCTCTTCAAAAGTGACACATGGAGAGTGAATTAGTTACACTGATATAAAGACCATCAAGTAATAATATAGCAAGAGACACACCTGCTCACTGTAAAAGTACTAGCATGTGTTGTAACCAGGAATGGGGAACTTCACACATTATTTAAGTAATTGTATTTTCTTGTTACAATTACAATCAGATGCAATTCAATTAACATGTAGTAATGCATACATGTACTATAGGACACAGTTCAATTTCAGACCTTTTATCATCTGCTAACTGTCAGTATTCCTCAAAGCCATTTTATATAAAGGAATAACCAGCCTACATGTCTCATTCAAAAGTAGAAACTGAGATAAGATGACTGCAAAAACCCTAGCATGTAAATTAAAATTTTAAATAGTATGGCAATCCTGTTGTCTGCTAATATCAACTGAAATCTGTAAAGTGACTCTGTCAGATATTTATAGCATACATCAGTGGCAGTGTGACTTTTTCAAAAGTGTTAAACTGTGCAATGAATAGTGTTAACATTCCTCATTTGGCTATCGTGATAACTTGGTATGATATGCATCCCTCTTTCTCTTTCTCTCTGTCCTATATAGTGACTCTTCTGTGTCTGCATTCGCAAATGTCTAATGTAAGCCTGAGGAACCAGCTAACAGTGCCTGCGATGGGCTGGCTGGAAGTGGCAAACGAATTGTCTGATCACTTGTTCTGCCATCACAAGGAGTGTCACAGAACCAGAAGAATAACACTTTATTTTATTTTTCCAAGTTTTAGCCAGGCTAACATGGTTTATGTTAACACTCTGCCACTGGTATAAGATTTGTACATGTAATGTATCAATGTGTCTTCTTTCAGGATGAAAAACTAAACTCTTACAATCTCAAATTGTCAATGAGAAATCCGTCGAGTGCAACAATGTTTCTAGGTCACTTATTTATCTCACTTGCCTTACATGTTTCAGTTCAAGAAAAACCATCATCAGAGGCACGCATTACAAACACATGAAAACACTGGCATTGTTTAATGTACACAGTTTGTAAGCTGCATGGACGCTGTTACAGATGTCGAAGTGTAAAAGCACAACACTTTCTAGTAACATTGAATGCACGTACAACTCTTGCATTCAATGTTACTAGAAAGTGTTGTGCTTTTACACTTCGACATCTGTAACAGCGTCCATGCAGCTTACAAACTGTGTACATTAAACAATGCCAGTGTTTTCATGTGTTTGTAATGCGTGCCTCTGATGATGGTTTTTCTTGAACCGAAACATGTAAGGCAAGTGAGATAAATAAGTGACCTAGAAACATTGTTGCACTCGACAGATTTCTCATTGACAATTTGTGATTGACAGTGTAACGGACCAAAATGAAACAATTCAAAATCTTACAATCTTATTTCACTTAATAAGAAAGAAACAATTTGTATTTTAAGAAACTCACACAGAAATAAGATACTGAAATATTGGTGCATATCTCATTCCCTTTCCATCAACATAATGAATGCAAAGTAAGATTAAATTTTCTTCAAATAGGTTAAGTAAATTAAAAGCATGTACGTAACATGAAATATATATTGTAATAACAAAATTTATGTTTGAAAGAATTTTTAATAATATGCACATTCAATCAAGAAAAGCAGAAACTGAAATCTGTCAGCAAGACCCGGAATAAATTTCATTCACATTATTTCTGCATGTTATGAACCCCTAATAACTCAGTTCAAATTTGAATTTTTTTTTTTAATAATAGGATTAAAAAAACCTATGTGGAAGGAAAGAGCTCCTTTGTAAGGCCAGAGTCTATAGATATGCTGGAAAGGCAAATAAAAACTTTTGATCTAAATATGTTTACCTATCATTCCCTTCCATTTAAGAGGCTGATGAAATAGTTCTGCTTAGTAAGAAGACAATGAACAGTTATTTACTATACAATGCTTCAACTAAGTTCCCCATGCCTAAGTCAGACAAGTTTCAACCGTAACTTTTGAATAGGTTGTGGAAAGGACTTGGTGTAGAACAGGAAGTGGTGATTTTGTCACAAATGTGCAAGAGGGTGAGTCTGTCTACCAGTAAGCTCATATCTGTCACACACTGGAAAGGTATCACAGTCCGGACAGAAAGAGAAAATGAGACAGAGGGAGAAGCGAGTGTCCAGGCTCCAGCTTGTGCTCCCTCAGTCCTGTATCTTGTTAACTGCTGGATGCATATTAAGTGCCAGTCTCATCATTACATACATGCACATGTGTGGGCATGTATAATTTTATCAGCTTATATCATATGGTAACTTCAGAATTCAATTAACAAGTAGAAATAAAAGAAAATATATGTTGCAATTATGTCCATAGGTATGTGCTGAACTTGTCTTGTGCGTAAAATCCAACGCAGATGCACACAAGAAAATTTTAAGAGTTCTTGCATACACACAAATATACATTCATACGTTTCACATTCACAACCTTGAAATTGCACACTGAAGAGCAACACAAATAAAATAACTATTTTCTTTAACAGCACTGCTACATACTCAATCATCACTTATCACAATTGGTCTCATTAGGAAATGTAGATAATAAGGAATATTTTATGAGAGTGTCTCCCAGCGGTAAAAGTGCAGAGATTTCCTTTCTATGAAATGACTACCTGCTCTTCTTATTCAGTCCACAGCCAGAAGAGAGATATGAAAACTGACTGCATATCAAGCCAAGAGACATGCATCACAATTATTTTGACTACAGCAATACCAGCCACTCACATGTAATCAGACTGGCATATCTGGCATAAAAACATAACTCCAGAAACATTCCTTTGAGAGAACCTGTGCAGGCATGATTGTAACAGTTCATAAGGGCCAAGCACATGGAAGGAACAAGGCTTATTTCAGAGGAAATCTAAGCCCTATAGAAGCTTTGTAAAGCAATCTAGAGGGAGAAATACATCTCAAATCAGAGTTGTACTGCAGGTAACTATCAATATCTTCACATCATCTTCTTGATTAAGTAAAACTGGGGTTTTAAATGGCAAGGGAACTGGCTGAAGGTAACCACTAGTCAGGAGATCTCCTTGAAATGCTTACATTATGACACACAATGATCAGACTGCTGCATAATGACTCCTTTGTGGAGACTGGGAGCAGGCCTGGCAATACACAGTCTTCAGGATCTAGCATGTGTTATGTCATGGTAACTGGCTGGGAGATCATGAAGGTTTCCTGAAAAATTCTCATCTACGAAAATTATTGGATTGTCCAGATATCCAGCCTCAAAATGGATGGGCACTGTATTGACAGATGAAGTTGACAAGTCACACAGATCAACAGTGTCCTGTTCCATACAACAATGAGTTATTCAGAAAGGTAAGCTGGCCACAAACATGTTCTCGATGAGAGGTGGAGCAGGCACAAGGTCCTCCAGCTTGAGGTAGAATATGCGCTGGAGTCCTTGCACGCTCAGTGACCTCAACTCTGGCAACTTTCCAAGCAGCCGTGAAAAGTAATGCGTCTTTCTTTGGGCCTCAGCATTGTATGTCACATGGTCCCGCAATGAACCAATGATTTTCATCTGTAGCTGCTCCACTTTGTGTGGTTCCTTTAATCCATGACGCTCTGCAAAACATAAGAAAAGGGTTGAAATCCCATGGTTTGGCTACCCCACTATAGAAATAAGTGAACTACATAACATTCAAGAGTTAGCAACGTGAAGAGGGATGGTATGTCACGTACAATAGAAGTATGTATACCTCTTGCAAGAAAAACTGCACAGTGCTTTTCAGTGCAACAACCATTTACAAAAATACTTACAAATAAGAAAATACATTATTCTTGTTTGTTTTTAATTCATACCATGTCAGTTTTATTTATATTTTGCCATTTATAAGTAAATATTTCAGCATATTTGTTCAACATATGGAATAGATACTATCATATCATCATTTACTTTGAAAGTTATATTAAGGAAGATGACAAAAATAAAATTATGCAGATAAGCTTTAATAGAACATACAGATCCTCCATCATTTGACTTTTAAAAATTTGTATAACGGCTTTGTATTTTTATGAAAAAAGGTCACAGAACTTTCTATGCACTTCGGGAATTCATTTGTTACGCTAATGCATGTTCCACACAACTCTCTCTGGATTCTGTTAGTTGGCAACAGTAAACCTTGGAATCTCTGAGGCCTGAAATGAGACATGTTGGTTACTAATGTAACCATCCAAGTGGAAGTGTGACCATTATTCATAATATTATATTTCAGCATCCTGTTGCATTGAGGTGACCGCCTCTGTAGTCTAGTGGTCAGAGTTCCCAGCTACAGATCCAGATATGCTGGGTTCGATTCCCAGCACTACCGGATTTTCTGAGAAGTAATGGGTCTGGAACGGGGTCCACTCAGCTACGTGAGGATAACTGAGGAGCTAATTGGATGGAAAAGTAGTGGTTCCGGTCTAGAAAACTGAAATTAACGGCCAAGGGGATTTGTTGCGCTGACCAAGCAACACCCTCTATCCGCTGAAGTCGGAACTAACTTCGCTGACAAGCGGCGGTTGCTTGGTTAGTATAGTTCGCTTGTGGATACAGGCCACAGAGTTGCATTGAGATATCAATGACATTTTAAACATTTTAGTAAATTAAATGGGATTTAGTGTCATTTAAAATATAAAACTAGACTACAAATGATCCAAGTAGAAATGCGCTTCATGAGAGAACCATTTGACATTTAAGATACCCAGATTTTCCTCCAGTAGCGCTCTGTATTCCCTGGCAAATGTGTAATGTCTCTACAAACAGATGCGCTACATTTACATCCCTTTGCATGTTTATCACACACTTCCTGTTTCTTCAGATGGTTTAACAATAGGGTAGATAGTGTCTTAATGGTGCGACATGACCAGAAAATTTTCAGTGATGCTGCCACCCCATAGGGAGGGGGTGGGGGGGTGGGTGTAACCGAGAATACAAGATTTTGATAAAGTCCGCTTACTGATCTGTAGTATATGATGCTATGCTATTACTTAGTTGAGCACTGAAAATGGCAACAAACAAATTTCCTAAGCATGTTGGATGATGTGTGAGTTCCATACAATTGTCGTGAATAACAAAGAAGTTATAAAGTGTCAGATAATAAAAGCATTCTGTAGATGACACAACATCAAATGAGAGATTATTAAAACCATTCTGTATGATGATCCACAGGACTGAAAAGATATTGCTATACCCCATAAACCTGCAACAAAATTATGGCCTGTCCTTGAAAGGCAAAAGAAGAAGAGAGAGAGAGGAGAAGAAAAGGAAAGAAAGCACGAAAAAGAATTTTTAACATTGAAGATGTTCTTTTATATGTACCTGACACACACTTCTTCTGTTATCAAAGTCATATAAAATCGTTAAAATTACATAAACACCAATTAACTTACCAGTAACAAGGGTCAGAGCACACAGACAAGCAAATGCAGAAATGTCAATGTCCATGGCATGTAGAGAATGACAGAATTCAAGAATGGCATGCAACCAGTCACCAAAACTCCGCTGGCACTGCTGCTTGTCCAGTACTACTCCACTGCAGAATGTTAGTTTTGTATCATCTGGCCTTGTCCTATATGGGAAAAACATCCGTATAAAGTATGAAGAAATTTTAAGGTAGGAAAATGTGATTACTGCAACAGACAAATATAATTTAAAGTTCATTGCTTTGGAGCACTAAAAGCATTTTTATTTTCTTTTTTTTTGGGGGGGGGGAGGAAGAAGTATACAGTAACCATCACCATTGCCTTCCATCATAACTGTTTCACTCACTCATGGAGCTGAGCCCTTCTGGAGAAGCTGCCAATTCTGCAGCTACTCATGAATTTCCCAGCATTTTATGGAACCTGAAAGTTCATTGCCATGTTCACAAGAGCCTTCCACTGGTCCCTATCCTGAGTCAGATCAATCCAATCAATACCATCCCATCCTATCTCTCTAAGATCCATTTTAATATTGTCCACCCACCCATGCCTTGGTCTTCCCAGTGGTCTTTTTCCTTCTGGCTTTCCCACCAATATCCTATATGCATTCCTCTTCTCCCACATTTGTGCTACATGCCCCATCCATCTCATCCTCCTTGACTTGATCATTCTTATTATACCTAGCAAAGAGTACGAGTTATGAAGCTCCTCATTATGCAGTTTTCGCCAACCTCCTGTCACTTCATCTCTCTTTGGTCCAAATGTTCTCCTCAACATTCTGTTCTCAAACATCCTCAGTCTAAGTTCCTCCCTTAATGTCAGAGACCAAGTTTCACACCCACATCATAACTGAATGTCATCTCTTATTAAAATTTTAGCCTCTTATTTATTTTCATGCACAACCCTCAACTTGTCTTTGAATAGTGGTTTATAGTTATGCTTCCCTTAATTAGAATATACAATTCCCCACTGCCCTATGGTCACTGCTTCCTGTAACTCATCTTCAGGTGTAAAATACTTTGTTGTTTTTCATATTTGACACTAACTCTTTGTTTTCCTTTTTTTTTTTTTTTTTTTGCATTTAAAGATAAACAGACATAACACCATTCAACCTTTGAAGTAGCATTTGATAATGAAACCTTTGAATATGGAGAGTATTTCATATTTGGCACACAGCGCTAGATCCTACGTCTGTAAAGGAATGTTACCTTTTCACATCCTTCAGTAACACTCTGGACTCAATGTATATTATTTGTTTCTTCCTTGCACTAATTTTGCAAGGACATCGCTTCATATGTATTAAATGCAAAATATTTTCAATGCTTTCTCACATTCAATTGATACCTATTCTGAATCACTTCTTCACCAAATAAAAGTGATCAACTGGCACTCAGGGCCTGAAAATCTCAGTTTCACTTCAAACACAGGTGCTACTGTAATAGATTGTCTCCATTTTATCTTCATTGATTGTTCAGTGCAGACTTTTGGTAAATAACAACAGAATTTTGAATACCTCTACAATTACATCTCATGATGCATAGTAATTTATAGTAACTTATGTATCAAAAACCGTACTGCTTCTTCATTTGAAGTAAGATTTTGCTGTTTGGACAATAAGGCTTTCCCATTTCTGCACTTCAGTTGCATTCAAATGTGTATGTTTTAGTTCTTGTCAACTTAGGCATTTAACTTCACAGTTTAGCTTGGCAACTAACTAACTAACTAACTAAGGAGCTGAGCACTTATTGAGAAGCTGCCAGTTGTGCAGCTACACAAGAATGTTCCAAAGTCCATTACTGTGTTCACAAGAGCCCTCCACTGGTCCCTATCCTCAGCCAGATAAATCCAGTCCATACCACCCCATTCTCTCTCTCTAATATCAATCTTAATATCATGCACCCATCTATGTCTTGGTCTTCCCAGTGGTCTCCTTCCTTCTGGCTTTCCCACCAGTATCCTATATGCATTCCTCTTCTCCCTCGTTTGTGCTACACGCCCCATCCATCTCGTCCTCCTTGACTTGATCATTCTAATTATACCTAGCAAAGAGTACGAGTTATGAAGCTCCTCATTATGCAGTTTTCTCATACCTCCTGTCACTTTATCTCTCTTCGGTGCAAATATTCTCCTCAGTACCTTCTTCTCAAACACCTTCAATCTATGTTCCTCCCTTAGTGTCAAGAGATCACGTTTTGTATATTATAATTTTTATGTTTTTGGACAGCAGACAAGAAGACGAAAGGTTCTCGGCTGAATGGTAGCAAGCATTACCTGAGTTCAATCTCCTCTTAATTTCCTCCTCAATCAGGTTTTGATCTGTTATCGTTGTTCCCAAATATCTGAACTGTGCCACATTTTCAAAACATCTGTTTTCTACCTTTATGTCATGATTTTGCCCCGCATTCTGGTGGCGAGACAGCAACATATACTGAGTTTTCTCTGTGTTTACTTCTAGACCAACCTCCTTACTAGCGTCAATTAAAGTATATGTCTTTTTCTTTATGGTGTCTATATTATCACCCAGGAGATTCACATCATCAGCATAGACCAACAGCTGATGTATGCAATTTAATTTCAGTCCCACCTGGTTTCCCTGGACCTTCCTAATGGCATATTCTAAAGCAAAGTTGAAAAGGAGTGACATTAAAGCATCTCCTTGTTTTACACCATTCTGGAGAGAAAAATCATCAGACAAATATTTACCTATATGGAGTTTACCATACGTTTCGTTTAAACACATTTTAATCAGCCTAACTAGTTTCATGGGTAACCCAAATTCTATCAGACTATTGTACCACACTTCCCTTCTAAGTAGCTTTCTTGAAGTCTACGAATAGCTGATGTACTGTCTCATTGTACTCCCATATTTCCTCCAGTATCTGACAAATGCAAAAGTTCTGATATGTAGTTGATCTGCTAGTTGAAACCGATGTTGATGATCCCCAATAATTTCACCTATGACCTCTGAGTACTAATTTCATCAAAATTTGTTGAGTAGATTCAGAGATGAAACATGTGGAAATTCCAAATGATCTTCCCACAATGCACATATGTTATGTATAGTGTACAAAGAAGACATGAAAACATACAATGTAAAAAATAAATTACACCAATCAAGGAACTAAATAAACTGAACTTGGTTAACTTTCCAAACTCTAACAAATGGTTAGCCTGATCTTCAGCAAAATCAGATACTGTATTTTAATTTTAACTGTTCAGAGATGCATAGCATGGAATGCGCTGTACCTGTGTGCAAGACGCAATACGAAGAGCTCAAGAGAAGCGGATTGGAATAGGAGTTCTTGATCATCTCGGTTCAACTCCGCAAAACCTGGAATCTTATCAGCAAACATGCGGATCACATCTACAGACGTTGTGAGTAGGCTGTAGAACTGCTGAATCTTTTCTGCTTCACTCATTGGAGGTTCATTTGGTGTGGGTTCACGATACTGAGGGACAAGAAAGCAATGTTGAGGCACATCTCTTCAAGAGATTCTAATTAAAATTAGTGTTAACTCTAATGGTTACTTAATAGGACTCACTGAATATAATAAATGTTGAACTGAATTGAATTTATTTGCATTCCATAGATCCTAAGTAGGTTAATACCTCTGGATATAGAACAAGTCAAAATAATACCTACGGGTACAAGTAATTTTATCTTATTCTACATTATTCTCCATTTACATTGAGGTATTCATCTACAGAGTAGAAGGAATGAGCATGCAGATATTTCTTTAGCTCTGATTTAAAATGCTTAGTATCATTACTCAAGTTTTTGATACTTTGTGGGAGACTATTGTACACTTTTATGCCAGAAAAGTAGACTCCTTTTTGGTACAGTGATAAGTTTGATGAAGGTAGATGGAAGTTATATTTTTGTCTAGTAGTCATGTTATGTATATTGGAATTTAATTCAAATTTATTTTTGTTGTACACAACAAATAAGAGAAGCGATAGTATATATTGTGATTGAAGAGGTAGAATTTTTAATGGACTAAAATTGTTTCAGAAAATATTATTTATGTGGGTATAAGACATACTAACGTATAAACATTTTCAATTTAGACTACTTTTTGACATTTGCAACTTCTTCAAAACAATGAGAGAAGAAAAATTTAACTTGTTGTCATATGAAGGAATTAAAAACAGAAAACCTTTCGCATTCTAATATTTGTAAAAGTGATAATATGCAGACTGAATATGAAAAAGTTCTTATGAATAACAGGGGAACTAAGCAACCGAAGAATAAAATTGCTATGGTACCAGCTTACACAGAATGTTGCTCTTAACTGATTGAAATGAAACAGATCTCAGCCTACTGAAAACAAGCCACTTTCTGAAGTACCACAAAAGATTTTTGTTTCTTTAATTCTGTCTGCACTACATTGTAATTCTGCTTAATCAGTATACTTGAAAAAATCTAGGAATAACAGTTGTTTTGTACCTAATATTTTTGTATTTTTTTGTATCTTGGAGTATTATTTGATTTCTGTATTATTTATGTAATATCTGAGTAAGTAATATAATAATAATAATAATTCATACTACTTTTGCCTTTTCTAATCATATGGCATTTGCAGAGCCGTGATGCACCATAAGTGAACCGATGCAACTGGTCCCCCTGTGTACGATATAATCCGTTTTGAAACCTATGGTGTGTTTTGTATACTGAATGTGCATAATAACAAAATTTTTGTTGTGTTAATAGGCGTTTCCTAAGAGATGAAAAATTTTAACTTGTGTCCTTTTTATCGTGGGGGTGCAATATAACTGCATTTCCTAAGAGTGATCAAAGCGTAACAGACGATCAACAAAATGAAAATATCAGAAACAATCTAAGAATAATGAACTTTGTCACAATAATATAGCATTGTCAAAAAATACTGCAAATTTGAATGAAACACCTGGAAACAGGGCATAAAAAGTATCTGTTAATATGCCCATCATGTGTATGCATGAAACACCTCCTGAAGAGCTGAAAGGATTTTCATGACATTCGATACTAGAGAATTTTGACAAAATATGTAGGACATAAATTTTCATTTCGGTTGGATGAGATTAACGACCGTTCTGCATGAAAAACTGTGCACTGTGTACATTCACAATGTTCTTGTTTTGATGGTAAAAAGTCTCAGTTCTCTAGTTGTTTGGTGAGCTTTCGAGGGGTTATATGTATAGTAAAGACTATTAATTTTGCAATGTAGAACCATCTTAGTTGCCACATTTGCTCGATTTCTTCTTCTTCTTCTTCTTATTGATGATATTATTATTATTATTATTATTATTATTATTATATTGGGGCATGTGGTAGCATAGTTGGTTCAGGCACCATGCTACAAGCCGGAAGGTCGCAGGTTCAAGTCCCGATGAGGTCATTGGATTTTTTCAATTTACCTAATCCTTCCAGCCGCGCTGTGGCCCTGGGGTCGACTCAGCCTCTAACAGAAATGAGTACCAGGAATTAATTAAATAATTTTCCTGGGGAGTAAAGCGCAGCCAGCGTGTAAGGCTGACAACCTTACCACTATATTTGAGCCGACTGTCTAGATAATGTGGGACCCTCAATGTCTCACAACCCTATGGGCCTTCACGGCCTGTTACAGGGATAGCTTTACTTTACTTATTATTATATTAAAGACCTGGAAGTTCATCTGATTTTAAACTTTGTTTCCATACTCATATCAATTACATATCTTCTCAGTGTGTTAATTTGTTGGGTCTGATTCCCTTTCTCATCCATTGAATTTCTACACAGGAGTTGGGCAAAATAATGGAAACACGAAAGATACTGTACACACTTCTTTATTAATATGGCGTTGGACCACTTTTTGCTTATGATAAAGTGCAGTACTTCATGGAATGGACTTGCACAAGTTCTGAACATTCTCTACCAGAATTTTATGCCATTCTTCTTGAAAAATATCTTCAAGTTGACATACAGATGTTGGATATGGGAATCTGTTCCTCATTCCAGTCTCCATAACTGACCAGAGTGGTCTAATGATGTTCAGATCTGGTGATTGTGCTGGCTAAGGAAGATGCTGAAGTATACCTTCATGCTCTTCAAACTGTGACTGAACAGTTCCATCTGTGCGAATGGGGCACTGTCATTTTGCAAAACTGCATCACTGTTAGGAAACGTCTGGATCATGGGATTCACCTTATTGCCCAACCTGTCCATGTAATCCCTTGCAATAATTAGGCCTTGAGGGGTGACAATGGGACTAAAAGAGTACTGTACCACGATACTGCTGCCCAAATCACCACAGAACCTCCCATAATTCACTGTTGGAACCAGGCATTCCGGAATGTAGGCTTCCTTGGGTGTTCTCCAAACGTAAACCCTTCCTGATGTAAAGAGCAGCATGAAGGGAGACTCATCTGACCATATCACGATCGCATTTCCAGTTGTTTGATATCCAGGGTTTAATGGTCGTGACACAGCACCATCGTTTACGCATCTGAACATTACTTTCAGCAATCAGAGTTTGCAGCCCTACCGTGGATGTTGGCTTTGTGAAGCTTACTTCGGTGAGCTTTTGTGGGAACAAGGTCTTCAAGATGAATATTCAGTTATTCTATAACGTGTGTTGCAGTAGTACGACGATCTCTTTCTGTAATATCGATTTTCACCCACTGTTGCTCTTCGCTGATGTTCTCTTCCCACGATTCACATATACCAACATAACCTTAGAAACTGTCGTTCTCGATATATTAACACGAGTAACATGTCAGTTTTTGTCACAGATGCTCCAGCTAAACGCGCACAAACGATCTGTCCTCTTTCAAAATTGGACAAGTTTCCCATTTTCCGATTATTTCACACGGACTGTTGTTGGTCAACACGATCGATCACGCATTTCGGAGTGTAAACAAACTGAATTGCAACAGGTTCGCCAACCGAAGTTCTTTCAGTGTAGCCAACACAAATTCTATTCCTCAATTTCTTAGTGTTTCCATTATATTAAAGTTATCCCTGCAGCAGGCCGTCAAGACCCATAGGATTGTGAGATGTCGAGGCTCCCACATTTTCTCTAGACAGCCGGCTCACGGATGGCGATAAGGTTGCGAGCCTTACGCGCCGGATATTATATTAAAAGTAAAGCTGTAACAGGCCGTGAAGGCCCATAAGGTTGTGAGACATTGAGGGTCCCGCATAATGTAGACAATCGGCTCAAAAATGGCGGTAAGGTTGTCAGCCTTACGCGCCGGTCGCGCTTTACTTCCCAGGAAAATTATTTAATTAATTCCTGATACTCATTTCTGTTAGAGGCTGAGTCGACCCCAGGGCCATAATGCGGCTGGAAGGATTAGGTAAATTGAAAAAAAAAATCCAATGACGTCATAGGGACTTGAAACCGCGACCTTCCGGCTTGTAGCATAGTGCCTCAACCAACTACGCTACCGTATATATATTATATATTTGACCCTAGTTGGATGTAAGTTTGAGTAAGTCTCCATGTTTTTAATTCTATAACGTCTATTTATGCAGAAAAAAAAAGACACATCCTGAAGAATTTTGCAGCCCTTTGGTTTAATCAGTTTTTCTTCCATGTCCGTTACAGCCGTGAATAAGTTTCAAAGAAATTATTATTGCACCTGCTACGTAGGAGGTATCAATTTGATGTACGTTTCCTAATTCAATTTATCTCGGATCCAGATTCTGTAGTTCCTTTCTGGAAACTGTTGGTCTTCGAGTTCTTCCCCGGTATATCAGAGACTTCTCTTGTTCAATATTAGGGCTTCAAGCAAAAACTGTTCTTCCGCTATATACGCTGCGGCTGCTAATTTTGTCTGAAGGGCAACTGGTTTATTTGAAAGAAAAACTGTTTCTATTTATCATATTTTATAATGGTAGTTTTTAATTATTCAGATACTAATCTTATGCAGTATGAATGTATGTATATATACGAGTATTTTTGGTTTTCCGCGTAATGATTGGCGTGAATATTCATCCTGAAATTTTGTTATTGTTGCCTTGGTTCATCTAATTTTTGTGGGCATATGTTGATTCTGTTACCTTCTTTTTCTCTTGATTACTGTATAATGGTCTTTGGGCTGTTGAATAAGCAAGTAAAAAATAAAGAATTGAAGTACGTTACTGTTATGAATGCCTTTTTTTTAATTAATGTCTGTTTACATCTTCTGTTGAGTTGCAATATTATTTTGGCAGTGCTTACTTGTAAATGACACTTTAACTATTTTCAGGTGCTCTAACAAGGTAACTATTATTATTATTATTATTGTCGTTGTTGTAATATGCAGTATTACGCTGGCTTTTGAGTTCAGCACGTAAATAAACAAAGAACTGAGCCGAATTGAATTATATCAATGTTTAAATTTGACAATCAGCCGACTAATGACTAACACGTTCTGCTAACAGCGAAAGAATTAATGAAATGAGAGGAGAACCACACCTGGCTGTAGTCGAGATTGGCGAGATCAGGGGTTGTATCCACGTGGGCCCGAACCAGGGCTGTGATGAGAGAGACAGGAGGACTGGGTGGAGATTCTTGAGGCGACTTGGGTTTCGAGGGGAGCCTTCCCCTGCGTCCCTTCAGAGAATCAGTGCGTACTACTTCCTTGACCATGCCCACAGCGAGGCACTTCTGGAAGCGGCAGAACTGACAACGGTTTCGCCGTCTCTTGTCCACCGGGCACGCTTTGTCGGCAAGACACACGTATTTGGACCCCTTCTGCACGGTCCTCTTGAAGAATCCCTTGCACCCCTCACAGGTCCGCACTCCGTAGTGTTGACAGGCGGCAGTGTCTCCGCATACGGCACAGAGCTGTGACGGAGACTGGGGTGCAGGCCCACCGCTGGTCCGGGGTACTGCGCCCCCCGTGCTGGGGGCCGTGGCTGTTGCTGGCGTTGAGGGAGGGGCTGTGACTGTAGGGGTCATTACGTCGCTGAGTCCACCGCAGCCGGGGGAAGACGACGCCGATGATGAAGCTGAAGGGGCGGGTCCTCCCGAGGATACCGCCCCCAGTCGAAGTTTCGGGGACTCGCTGCTGCTGCAATAATAAAAAGCAAGTTGTATGGGTCCATGGACGGGATATCAGTAGACTTAAGGCTCCCACACACAGACGCGATACTCAGCTCGGTACGGTACGGGACGATATCTAATTACATTGCGGTAAATGGAGGTCCGCACACTGGCGCGGTACTCCGAGGAACGCGATATTATCGCAGTCGGTATATCGCCTCGGTATTTCGGTCTACCGAGCGCACTCGGTAGACCGCTCGGTATCGCAGCGGTAAATACTCATGGATCCGTCTTTGGAGGAAGTTTTGCTTTTAGCTGTCGCTCTTGATGAAGACGAAGGTGAATCCCGGCAAGTATTTTACTGAACACTAAATCTGCGTAGTTCTTTTCCTCCACATATTCAGTATGCCATATATATGTACAAATATTTACAATTCCATAACGAGTCTCTAATTAAGTATGTATAAGTGGTTGCTATGTGTGTTCGTATTTAGGCGAAAGAGACGAATCACTTGGGTTCATGATATAAACTTGTCAAGAGAGGAACTAAGGGAGTTTTATACATTGATACCTCAACTCCTGAAGGACGAAAAACGGTTCTACATATATTTCAGGATGAAAATTGACAGGTTTGATGAAATCCTGAGAGCCATCGGGCAAGAAGGTATCACTAAACAATACACCAATTGTCGGAGGCCTATTCTTGCCATTAAGTGGAGGATTTTTTTTTGAGACCTATAGAACTGAAAGGAGGAAATATAAAACACACTGTACCAGCAGCGTGTTTGCTTCATAATTTTCTACGTCTCAAAAACTGTGATGAAAAGTACAGGGAAGAACTGCTACGAGTGGAGCCACTGGAAGGAGAAATGTTCCCTATCCAGCCTTTACGTCTCCCAAGGGCGGCAAACGTTAGCTACGCCATTAGAGAGCGGGTTGTTGCGTACTTCAACTAGATGACTGCCCCTGGAATTCATGTTAGTGAACGGAACTGGTGCATAGCCTACACTAAGAATGCCCACAGTTACTGTATACTTAACCCTATATAAATATATACAGATTTTTCTACTTGCTGTCTCTGTTCATTGTTAACAGCCAATTCCTTCCACTTTCTATCCTTAGCACGTGAATCCTTGTACATCGGACGATGAGTATCGTACAATAAAGCATTTTCTTTGACGAACTCTATTATTTGTTCCATTTGGTTACCCATGTCTATTCACTTACGTATAGATACTGATTGAGTGTGAGTCATGGCCAGCTGGTTATCGGGTGTCAAAGATTCCCGAGTTCCCGAGTGTCGCGGCTGTGTGCGCGGTCCACTCGGTAAACAGCCGCTCTCGTCCCGAGTGCAATATCGTCCCGAATCGTATCGCGTCTGTGTGTGGGAGCCTTTACTCTTGAGTGATAGACACATGCTGGTCAAAGCGGTTTAGAACCCGGGCTTAAATGCACTGATTTTGAAGTTCGTGCTGCGGTTTGTTCATATTTTGGCTAGGTATTGATACTTTGCGTGATAACATGGTATTGTGCCAGTCTAGTCTTCCGGCGGTTTGGAAACACTGCCGTCCGCAGCAACTGGCAGAAAATCTAGTTATCAGAATGAATAATTCTGTGAGATATTTTCCAAAGAAGGCATTATTTATATTAAGTCTGTATCTAGAACTGTAAAATGTTGATCTGTGTGGTCATATTTAGACCAAAATTCAATCTGCTGGGAAATTTTAGTAGAATCTAATCACTTAAATGGAATACTCGTACATACGTATGCTTTGCAAGCGCCTTATTTGCGACTGTACATACTTCATTTCCCTTAATGTTTAATTCTTGCAGGTAAACCTCTACTGTTGCAAACATCAGTCACAGCAGATGTAATTTGTACTTATTGTCCCATATCAATCTTCTCGCATTTCGTTAAATTTACATCATATCGATGATTCAAACCGAATTTATGGATCTTAATTTGATCTATATATTGCATTATGTAAACGTTTCTGCATGATCAGTTCTTTCCGAGAAAATTAAAATAGCTGGATTTCAGAGTAATGTGAAGTAGGCAAGTAATTTACATTTAAATTGCAATTCCAGTGATATTAATTATTGAACTGTTTGGACTCTGTGTTTAAGGTCGTGGATTCTATTCTTCGCCAGGGGCAGAGATTTCTCTCTACGCCACCGCGTCCAGACCGGCGCTGCGACATCCATCTTCCTATCCAGTGAACTCCTGGGGAATTTTCTTCGGGGACTAAGTAGCTGAGCCGTGAAGGTGGTTACTCGCTTTAAACTAGCGCCAAGATTAAGATGATTCAAAATTTGCTTAAACTTCCCATACATTTTCATTGCCTGTCGCTCAATCAAGCACAGGGACAACTTAACATTTGTGTGTTCGCTTTATTAATAACAAAAGTATTTGTCTGTCTCTCCGTTATCCCTCCCTTCAGCACATCCACCAACCTGCTCGTATATTCAGCCAAATATCTATGTGCAGTTTCGTAAATTAAAAAAATTATGCTAGCTGTACATTCAGATTCTTGGACAGATTGTGCTCAGTGAGGATTACATATGTAATCTCAGCAGACTACACTTGTCTCAGCTGCGATTCACAGCTTTCAAAATTAGTAATACTTTAAATAGAGTTGTATGCTTGTTATTTTCTTTATTGCTAGTGGGGTTGGACTAAGTCCCTTGTACTGCGTCCACTTCTGGCCTATTGTACCAGCCCCAGATGACAGGTGAGAGCGATTGTGGAGCAGTTGTTGGAATGAAGATAGGCAGGGGAAACCGAAGTATTCAGAGAAAACCTGCCCCAGCGCCACTTTGTCCACCACAAATCCCACTTGACCAGATCCTGGACTGAACCCGGGCCGCCGCGTGTATACTTGTTGATAAAACTATTATTGTCAAGCTATATATATCTGTTCACCTATGCATTCACCTAGCCGTCTGCGCGCCAGTCTACCTACCTACCTACCTACCTACTTACCTATCTCTCTGTCCGCTTGTCTCTTTAGCTATCTATCCGTCCATAAATCTATCATCCTGCTCATCTATCGTCCATCCATTCACCTATAAATTTATTTCTCTCATGCATACTACATGCCCAGCCATTCTTGTCCTCTTTCGTTTGATCACCTTACTAACCTTTGGTAAAGGTAAAGTTGTCCCTGTGCTTAACTAATTAAGCACTGCGCCATGAAGGCGTATGGGGGAGTGGATGTATAGGCCCAGGTATTATTGACCTCGGCACTATTTGGAGGTGAGTGGCTAGCTTCACGCCCCAGTCGTTTTACCGCCGCGGAAAGAGCCCCAATTCCCATTGAATAGGAGGCTGGATGGGCCCCAGAGACGGTCTGGACGACTTGGAGAAGTGAAAATTCTTTCCCCCACCGGGACTCGAACTCCGAGCCCTTGTTCATCCAGCCCGTAGCCAGTCGCTATACCGACTGAGCTATCCCGACTCCCAATAATATTCGGTAAAGAGTACAATATATGAAACTCATAACGCAACTGTCTCTGTTGGGCACTGTATCTTCCCTCACGCATCCAAATATTCGCTTAGGCACCCGTTAACCTACTTAATCTAAGTGTTTGCCTTACTGCAAGAAACCAAGCTTCACGCAGATACAAAACAGGCAAAATTAGGCCTACTGATTCTTATATTTTAATTTTCAGGTGTTTAAATTGGAGACGGGGAGATGGAAGATTTTGAGCGGTATAGTACGTAGCATGCATTTCATTCGTACTTCAGATAATTTTGATTCGTTAGTACCTTCCCTAAATACGTTTCTTTTTCAACTTCCGGAACCAGTTGTTTCCTACATTACGACCTTGTCCTGCGTTCTTGTGACAAGATAATCACCTATAGACACACTTAGTCTTCTCTGACTTTACTTCTGAGACAAACTTCCTTCGTAGTGTATAACAATATTTTCTATGCTCGCCCAGGGCCCAGTCATCCTGCTTATCGTCGTCTTTTTCAGTACCGCCAAGCAAATTCTCGGACAGCTCCTCAAATTAGGCTACTCTCGGTTTTCCGTGTCAATATCGATTCATAATTTACCATTCATTCTACCAAAAAAGTAGCTCGAGTGGTAATGCTTCTGACTTGCATTCTGGTGCTATCCGGTTAGAATCTCGGCCGGGTAGACTTCCCTGTGTTTTTTCGTGGATTTCTTCAGTTTCTCTAAGAAAATACCGGGACAGGAGGTCTATCCGCAATTATATCACGATCGCTTCCTTCCACATTCAGCCGAATTCATTAATCACTCATTCGATGCTGCCAGTGACCTTAAATACATTATAGATAAGCAAACAAAATAAGCAAACTCCGTGCCTTTAGTCCGCAAGCGAACTATGCCGACGGAGAGACCGTCGCTTGTCGACGAAATTACTGCCAACTTTAGCGGGTAGAGGGTGTCGCGTGGTCAGCGCAACGAATCCCCACGGCCGTTAATTTCGGTTTTCTAGACCGGAGCCGCTACTTTTTCCAATCAAGTAGCTTCTCAATTATCCTCACGCGGCTGATTGGACCCCATTCCAGACCTACTACTTCTCAGAAAATCTGGTAGCACCGGGAATCGAACCCGGACCTCTAGATCTGTAGCCAGGAACTCTTACAACTAGCCTACATATGAAATCAATTATCTTGCATTAAGCGCTGTATAGTTGTGTAATGTGAGGACCTGACAGCAATGCAGTGCATTTCATTGTGGTATTTAAAAGTCGCCCGTTAGATTAACGTGGACAGGAAGCTGATATGTTCCACCTAATTCCAGTTCCTATTAATTTTCTTGATTCTTTCTTGTGGTGTTTTCTGGAAGGAGGTGAACGCTATATTCTATAGGAGTTAAAGAGTATTGTACTTAAAACGAGTTTTTCAAAATTGCCTTACCTAGTGGACTCGGAGCGCTGCAACGGTAAGGACGCCCTCCTCTGCCTCGGACTCAGCGTCGTGGTCACGTGCAGTTCCGACGTGCTAGGAAAGTGGGGTAGCGAGTATGTGTCTTGAGGGAGTGGTGTGGGCTCGAAGCCAGGGCTCTGTTGCGGCTGCGGTGGGAAATAGGGTGAGTAAGGGGCCGGTTGCGGAGGGGTTGGCTGGAAGTCATAGGGTGATGGTGCTGGTGTAGAGACCACAGCGGGGTGGTGGTGGTGATGGTGGTTATTATAGGGGGTGGGTACATTGTAACACTCTTCATCCATCTTGTAACCCTGCTGATGAGACGTGCTGGCGAGTTCTGTTGGTCGGGTGTAGCGGGGAGAATATGTTTCCTGGAAGCTGGGAAGAGGGGCTCCAGGTCCTACGGGGCTCAGGGGGCCCGCACAACCACCGGGAGATTCGTGATGAGGCGGGGGCGGTTCTTGGTGGAATACTACGTCCGGAAATGGATCGAGCTCCTCTGTAAGGGCTCCTGTGTCTTCAGAAAACGGTGCGGACAGCAGGTCGGCGAAGCTGCTTGGTCCGAATGGGGACTGCAACAAAAAATAAAAAACACAATGCTTGCAGATGGGTTAGGGAAACAGACTCTCGCTATAATCCTGAGCTTTATCGTCAGCTAGCTCAGATCAATTTATATCGTCACAATACATCCATAAAATCAACATTACCCTCCAATCTGCGCCTTGCATTTCGAAGCAGCATTTTTGCAAAATATTTATGCAGTGTTGTATCTGTCTTTCAGCCATTGACATGACCCTGAACTGCAAAAAAGGAACGCATTGCTTGCATTCGGTCTGAAAATGGCAGATTCACTTAACACGATTGGTCTGTATAAAATAATTTGTCACCAAGTTTTAGGTACAATCAACTCAGTCAAATTCACTTTACCTGAATATTCTTCCATTTGATCCATTTTAATATTCTCATCCCATCCTCATCTTGGCCTTAAAAATATCTTCTTTCCATAATATTTTCCCATCATAACAAAGTCAGTAGAAAGTCCGTCGAGTGTAACAATTTGTAGGTCACTTCTTTATCACATCTGCCTTACATGTTTCGGTTTAAATACAACCGTCATCAGAGGCACATAGTACAATCATGAAAACACTGTTGTTGTTTAAGATGTACACAGTTATGTTTGCTGCGTGGACGCTGCTACAATATGTCGACGTGTAAAAGCACAACACTTGCTAGGATTGTTGAATGCACTACCAATTCTCACATTCCGTCCGAAACGTTTCGGACGGAATGTGAGAATTGGTAGTGCATTCAACAATCCTAGCAAGTGTTGTGCTTTTACACGTCGACATATTGTAGCAGCGTCCACGCAGCAAACATAACTGTGTACATCTTAAACAACAACAGTGTTTTCATGATTGTACTATGTGCCTCTGATGACGGTTGTATTTAAACCGAAACATGTAAGGCAGATGTGATAAAGAAGTGACCTACAAATTGTTACACTCGACGGACTTTCTATTGACTTTGTGATTGATAGTGTAACGGACCAAAAATGAAACAATTCCCATCATAATTTTAACAGCTTTTCCATTATAGCTGTAACATTACTATAGTCTACACGGCACGAGTGAAAATTTAACCGTAGTTAGTAAATGCAGCCTTAGGACGCTAATGCAAATCTTAACCCAATATACCCTGTATGTTTCCTATTCGGAAACCCCCTTATTATGTGATGTTAATTTGATATAATTATGCAAATAATGTAACGCATTTTATTAACGCGTTGCGAGGCAGCATCTCTGTAAACACGGTACATTACGCAACAATACGAGAGGCTGTGTTTTATATGTCGTCTGCGCCAAGCAACAGTAGGAACGGGGTTGTACGTGACCAGTTGCTAAGTTACGCAACAGTTATTACAATAGAACTGTGATTTCTATGTGATCCGTGCCGCGGCTCTATAACGAGATTCCAGGAGGGCGCCCTGGCGTCGAATACCTCCACCGTGACCCTGCGACTCGTAGGAAGCGACGAAAAGGAAAGTCTCAGATCTGAGACAGTAAAATATGGTCTCGAGTTCCAAGAGACTCGGACCCGAGAAAGACTGCGCTGCCAAAGACCAGCAGCATGTACTAAAGACAGACCCGTCCTCTCGTCGGAGAGGGAACCCCCACAAAACAAGACCGTAAGTGTCAAACAGTAATAAATATCTGGTCATAAGTCCCAGATGGGGCTCGACACCAAGACTTACTGACTGACTGACCGTCAGTCTCAATGTGATTGACTTTTCTGACCAAGGCAGTGACAGTGACAGAGTTCTGAATTCTGAGTTCTGGGTGGAAGATAGCCACAAGAAAGTTCGTCGTGTCAAGACCTTGTGTGAACAGAGGAGCTTATTCATGCGTAATACTTGGAGTGTGTGATTCAGTGAGACTGTTATAATTCCTGCGTTTTAATTGCGCTACCAGGAGACAACTTGTGTGTGTGTGTAACAGTGAATTATAAAGTGCAGAAATAGCGATAGCTCTATAATTACATGTAATTACTGGCGGTGTGTATAAGGAGTAAATAAACCCGTTCATCCATTCTCGCACCTGCGTTATTAGTCACTAATACACGTGACAAAAACATCACAAGAAACAAGCAACTGCTGCATTAGTGTCACAGAATTTAAACATCGAAACTGCTAAAACGCAAAACTGCAGTTCTCTTTTCCAAGTGAATTGTTGAATTTCAAAATAAAATATAGGGAGTCTAATTACGGAATAGGGCTTTGCATTAACTACTGTCGCCGATCATTGAGAGCCAGAAATACAATTCCGATGCATTGCCCGCTGTAACACGTGACACATATCCGCCCATAAAAACGCAATTAATAACTAATTTAATAGAGTCAATCAGATCTTGAAATTTCAGTATAGGCATATAATGTTGAAAAAATCCTGCACCTTCCTTCTATACGAGTCACAAATAATTTGATCCTAGATATCTAAATATCACAAATTGTTGATGTAGGTCCAACACCAAACTGCACACAATTTCTCTCACTCCCTGGCTAGGCTATATATAGTTATGTAAGCCTGAGACTTGTCATTTTCATTGCTCAGTGTTAGGTCACCATAGCAACGAACTGTCAAGCGTTAACAAATTGCATGAAAGTAAAGTAAAGTATGTAGAAGGTTACGAACGAGGGAGCAGTCTGTACTGTGAATATTAATAATATTTTTTTATGGCCATATATGAAGTGTAGTAGACTATACAAAGGAGATTGTTTACAATTGAATATTTGTGCTTGTTATTCGTGGGAAATGGTGTTAAACATCAGCCTCTGCGCATCGTTTGATAAAGTGTAGGAGTGGAAAGGAATGCGGGAGTAAGCAGAAGAAGTTAAGGATGATGTACAGAAGACATTAGCTCTGTTGTCTTGAGGATACCGAAGTATTTGAAGAGAAAAACTAGCCCCAGAACTGCTTCGTGAAGCAAAACTCTAATATGCACATCCGGAAACCGAACTCAGCATTGGAGGGAACCAAGTGTTCCAGCCACTCACTGAGAGTCTGCCCTAGAGAATTGTAGTCGAGGGGTCACAGAAACTTTATGTGGAGGAGTATAAGAACATACAGATTTTAAATACATAGAATACGTAGAATCAAGAAGAAATAAAAACTGACAGCGAAAATGTAATCCAGATTTTTGTATATGGGCACGTTATTGGTATACGTTCTGATTTTAACACCAGGCAAGAGACGGGATAGCGACTGACTACGGATTGGACAACTGAGAGGTTGGAGTTCGAGTCCCGGTAGTGTCAAGAACTTTCTCTTCTCCGCAACATCCAGACCGGCTCTGGAGTCCACCCAACCTCCTATCTGATGGGTATGTGGCTCTCTATATTCACTCCCCCATATGTCTTCATGGCGTAGTGCTTAATTAGTTAAGCACAGGGATAATTTTACGTTAACTTAACATCAGGCAAGCATTGTAATCAACATAAAATCGTTCTTTGTTAAGCACTTGTGACTGGCGACATCACGCATTCTTCAAGCCATTAATTATATTTCTATATAGGATGATCATTGTTAGGAGCAGAATTAGCCCCACTCTCTGAGTGTAAGAGATGTCTTTCGTAGGACAGACGCGGTTAATATTTATCGCTGAAGAATTTCTCGTGTCGAACAGCTATACCCAACCCGACCAGTGCCCCTCTAGCATAAGCAGACAAGAACCACTTCACCAATCCTCTGACATCATCACTGGGAAACTTGTTTTAATTTTCTACATACAACTTTTTCTTTTCGTCGAAAAGACGCAGTATGGCTTTCTGGCTATGGTTTACAATATAATGATTTCTTAATAGCGAGATTTGTTGTACTGTATTGTCGAACATAACTAATCAGAAATCAGTCGTTTCTAATTAAGAAGTCCGAGGGTTATTGAGAATTACGTATGCGCATATGCAAATAGCAATCAAGCTGTCAGAATATTCTAATTCAATGTTTTTCAACCAGTTCTAAAATTTCATCTCTACCTCACGAGATACAAGTGCATAATCCTTAATTGCTATGTTGAGAGTGGACAGTTCTGTTGTTCGTTGTTTTTAATATCACACAAAAATCTTAATTACATAGGTAAGTCAATAAGTAAGTTACAAATGGATATATAACTTAAACAAATTAGTACTGATTTGAAAAAATGCTTTTATTTCTCAATATAATCTCCCTGTACATTGAGGCATTTGTCCCATCCTTTCACAAGCCCCTGAAAACCAGCAACGTAAAATTCTTTGGGCTAATGTCGGAACCAGACGGTGATTTCCCTTTCTACAGCTTCATGGTCGGGAAAATGTTCAGCCGAGAGATGATGTTTAAGAGGACCGAACAAATAGAAGTCGCTTGGAGCAAGATCGAGGCTATACGGAGGATGCTCGAGGACTTCCCACTTGAAATTTCGCAGCGTCTCATTTGTCTTGTTGGCAGTATGGGGACGCGCGTTGTCAAGCAAGACGCCTCTAGTAAGGAGTGATGGTCGCTTCCGTTGAATGGCCTTACGAAGTTTCCTGAGGATGTTACAGTAGGAGTCGGCAGGACTCCTCACCAAAGGCGTGTTGCTCTTGCATGTCAACGCGCGTCCCCATACTGCCAACAAGACAAATGAGACGCTGCGAAATTTCAAGTGGGAAGTCCTCGAGCATCCTCCGTATAGCCTCGATCTTGCTCCAAGCGACTTCCATTTGTTCGGTCCTCTTAAACATCATCTCTCGGCTGAACATTTTCCCGACCATGAAGCTGTAGAAAGGGAAGTCACCGCCTGGTTCCGACATCAGCCCAAAGAATTTTACGCTGCTGGTTTTCAGGGACTTGTGAAAAGATGGGACAAGTGCCTTAATGTACAGGGAGATTATGTTGAGGAAAAAAAGCGTTTTTCAAATCAGTACTTTTATTTTTTAAGTTATATATCCATTTGTAACTTACTTATTAACTTACCCTGGTATATACTAGCATAAAGCCTGTTGAAGTTTAAAAAAGAATTACCAAAAAAACAAATTTCGTCAAAAACACATAATCTCAATAAC